ACCCCCCTAATCTCACGTGAGATTTTAAAAAATGCTTATTTTTAATGTTTATACGTTAAACTTCTTGATTCTGTTGGATTTATTAAAAAAAACATATATGTTTTTTTTAATAAATCCAGTATCCATAAGTATACTTTGTTAAAAGTTACGTGATATTTGCCGAGACCCCCCCCTATCCCTTACGTGAGAATTGATGAGATTTGGCTTGACCCCCTCCCTCCCCTAAACGCCTCACGTAATTAATGGATGCCCCCTTACGGCTTGTACCGGTCACGCGCTCGAAAATATTTAATATCTTCCGATCCAAAAAAGTCTCCATTTTTCTGAAAAATTCATTTTGTAGAGTAATAAATAGTGCATAGAACAGTATTTTTTTCATTTTTTTTCATAGAGGGGGCAAACACAAAAAATCTGTTTATACAAAAAAAAAATATTTTTTTCAAATAATAAACAAAACACAAACTTTTTAAATATTTATCTAAAAAGACTATGTAATATGGTTTAAAATAAAAAAAAAATGAAATCGATCCGATCAGTAGAACCGGAGATAATGAATTTTAAGTACAAAAGAATTCAGCATTTTTTCAAATTTTATCAAAAGTTTAAATCAATATATCTTTGGAAAAATAAATTTATTGCAAAAATTCCGATATAGGGGTCGGCTAAATTTATGAAAAGATGCTGTAAAAAAAAATTAAGTCATTTTAAAAATTTGAAAAAATATGTTTTCTGTAATCCGTACGATATGTAAAAGAATGTCTCATATACAGGGTGTCCCAGAACTCGCGCCACATAGAAAACTGGAACGTGCCGAAAGTAACGTGAAACACATATTTGAAAATTAAAATTGTCTAACGCAAAGGATAAGCGAGATAAGAATAAAAAACGATAGCCAATCCCAATAGATGGCCATAGGGAATTCTTTAAATTGCTAGGATACTTAGGTTGCATTGTTGATAATAAAAAATATGTAAAATATTTGGTCCACTGGAATCCAATTCATTGTGACACTGCTGTCAAACTCCTGTCATTAATATTATATTAGGTTATAAATTAAGTTATTATAAATAATGTTTTCCTTAGATGATTATACTGAAATGATAATTATTTATTTATTTAGTGTGGGCGCAACGCCAGGGAGACAACGCGAGTTTTTTCCCAGCCCTTTCCTAATCGTTATTTTAAAACATTGGCGTTCTGAAGTATAAGTCATAGATTAATAACCTCATTTTTGAAAGCTTTTGACAACTTAGTAAATACAGTTGGCCAAAAGATTTTTAAATGTTTTTAATACAACAATGTTCTATCGTCTCCTAGCAATTTTTAAACCTCTTACGTTTAACCTAGGCGAGAGCTCTCGGTATTGGCTGCCGCTTTTTTGCTCTCATTCGATTACACTATTACCTAGAAATTTTTTATTTTTAAATTTGGCATCTCCATTGCTATCGGCACGCCCCCTTTTTCTCTGTGGCGCGAGTTCTGGGACACCCTGTATAATTACAATACTTTATACTTTTTTAACTTTTTGAATAATTATTTATTTTTTAGTCTTAAAATTTAGTTGAGTAAATTGGTTTGTTAGTTACATCCGCCATATTGAAATTAGAATGACGTCACGTACGTAAAGCAGAATACGTATTCTGCTTGAAAACCCCTTTCATTTGATACCCATATGAAGGGGTTGTAAAGAAAAAAATAATTCACCATCTTGGAGTGGCAGCCATATTGAATAAATTATAATAAAAAGTATACTAGATTGTTCTGTCACCAGAACAAAAAGTGTTCACAATTTTAGAACAATCGGTTGGGTAGAAGTAGGTTAAAATCGATTTCATAGATTTGTTTACTAGTTAATTAGTTAGTTAAAAGAAGGAAGCTGAGCGTGTAAAAACGATTAAATTCGATTGAAAATTTTATTTTTTAAGCTTTTATATTTTTTAAAGTAAATCACGTGATTTTTAAATTAAAAAAAAAGTTTCGACCATACATTTTGGATTTTTCGCGCTGATTTTAAAAATAAACATAATTTTACTTAGTTTTCGAGATATTGTAAAAAAAATTATAAACATTTTATAAAGTTAGTCCCTTAAAAACCATATTTTTAACGAAATAAAATAGCTTTTTTAGTACAAATTTGACAATTTTCAAAGGTCAAATTGCAGTTCCTCCAAGTTGATTTGTCATGTGATATGTTGAACCACGGCGTTCTCTATAGTGTAGCCCCCACTCCTGCATCGCAACTTTGACGTCAGTGGCCTATCTGATCAACGTGCGCCTATTGTATTACATTGCTTTGCAACCAAAGTTATGGATTATTATTGCTTTTAAGGAGTATTTTTTACTAAAGCAGTGGACATTGCATGAGTACATATTCTATCAAAATACAGAACAATATGTACTAAGTAATTTATTGAAAACAAACAGAACTGCACACAAAAAATAATTCTTTAATTTTAAAAATTGTTTTGGATTTGTATATTTGAAATAAGTATAGTCTAATTTTTATAATATGCAATATTAAATAATAATTTTGTTAAGTTTAATTTTATAAAAAAAATTAGTTAAATTGATCTATTATTTCAATTAAATTTTCTTGTATTTAAATATAGAAATTACAATCTTTTAAATATTAAAGTTTACTTAAAATAAATTAATATATTCATTTAAAACAAAGGTTTTCAACAAAACATAATATATTAAATTTAAATAAACACAAGTAAACTTATATTTGATTTGAATTAATTGAATATTTTTGCGTATAAGTATACAACCATAAAAATGTTGGTTATTTAATGTAAATGATTATTTTTTGTGTATGCTCTTATTATTATTTAAAACAAACATAGAGGCTGCATTACAACAAACATAAATTAAGGCATCAAAATCATTTCTTCATCCTCATTTTCCGCCAATATCTCTAAGAGTTTACAATGCATTGTATTAAGAGGCAGATTCATAATTCATTAAGTCCAAATTTTTAACATCTAAGGGGATCTGGCCATACCTTGCCAAATTTATTACCATCAGACTTTTGGCCCGAATTTTTTTTTATAGTATTTTGGCATCAAAATTGTTAAATATATTATATTTTATTAGGCTATACATAAAATAAAAGAAACCTAAGCAACATTTCTATAAAAGTAGAGATAATTTTAATAATTGGCAGTTGGGGATGGGACAAGATAATTTTTTTTCCTGCTGAATAAAAAAGGGAGTGGCAAAACTGTTCTTTGCCTAAAGAGGCAAAAAACCTCAGACAGGCTCTGAAAATCGATAATTCATATGAAACTGTCTTGCATTACCGCTATAATACATTAATTTTCCTGTTGCCTTTTAGGAACGCAACATTTTCTTGGTATTTTTTATTCATTTATAATCTTATAAAAGCAGCAAACTAATGCAATATTTAAATCAACGTTAAATCGAGCGATCAATTGAAAAGCAATAGATAATTTATATGAAACTGTCTTGTATTACCGCGATTATACATTAATTTGCTATTGCAGTCGGCCTCCTGACGTCACGCCTCCCACTACCACACTCCCGCTTGGGATAGAGAACGCCGTGGTTGAACTGTTTAAATTAGAGGGAGTTCAAATAAGAGAGAGTAATGAAAATTATGTACCTATTTAAATGTACCTTATTAAAATGAGTTTATAAACTCATTTTAGTTAGGTACCTACAACTTATAAGTTACATATTCATACATACAGGATGGGTCTATGGAAAGGTTCCACCACGGTTTTCTCAGGTGTTACGTAATAAAAACAAAAAACGCTCGCACACATATACATTTATATATTTTTAATTTTAGGGAACAAATAATTTTTATACCCTACCCTCTAGAAACTACCTGTCAATTTTGAGGAAAGTACCATCTGAAAAATCGGATAAGTAACCTTAAACATCTGCATGACCTAACACATAATTTGCAACATTGGACACGACAGTTACCTTTAAAACCTAAGTTAGGCACTTTGCTTAGACTCTAGAAAAAAACATAAAATAAGCAAACACCAAAAAAAAAGTTACTGTAGGACAACGAACGCGTAAGGCAATAAACCCATTAATTTAAGAGAACGGCACCAACAAAAAACTTTAAACTAAACAAGACCAAAATAAATGGACACTTAGAATCCAAACAAAATCAAAATATAGGAAAATTTAAACAGAAGAAAGCATAAACCGAATTCTAACGGATTACGTAACACATTAGAATATACACTAAAAGTCAAAAAATACCCCCCTCCGGTAACTTCCTAATCGCATTACCAAAAGGTGGCCCAACTAAAATTCTGGACCCAAGTCACCCGTATGCACCGAATCAACATACTACAAGCCACCCAAAAACTAGTCCTTCTAGACAAAAAAGTCAGGAGACAATAACGGACAAAACGTAAACCACGACTAGTAAATCGATCCCTGCAGCAAAATAACAACTCCAAACAGTTATCCCAAATGTTTGGAGTAATACTAAATGCCTGGTATAGAAGGATACCGCGTCGTACTTAGATTTAAGTCGGCGTAATTGTCCCCCAAACACCAAAATGACCTTCATGACCCTACTGGCGTATAGCAACGGCCCGGCGAATCCGGGAATGGCGGTTTAAACTATTGGCATTTCGTTCTCGGGCCCTAAATAGGGGACAGTGCGGAACGCAATGGACATTCTCACCCAGCAATTACGGGTGAAGCCGTGCCGTTGCTGGTGGCGAAAGAAAATTGGCGTAAGGAAACAGAGCCCTGTGCGGGGCCCGGGAGCGATGAGGCAATGGGGCCGGTTATACGTCTCTTTTAGTCATACTCATACTTATCAGCGTTATTATTGTATGTTATTGTATGAAAATGTAAAAAAGATTAAAATTGTTTTAATATAGGTATTCTAAAACAGGTTTAGTATAAAATGTCCTAAAATCGTCTTAAAATGACTAAATATTTAATTTTATTTGCAAATTCTTGTATTAGGAAAATATTTCCAGTAAAATAATTATTTCTTTTAGGATTGCATAATAACCGAAAATTTTTGAGAGATCGCGTGAAAGAAGTTCCCGGAATGCACTACGGCATAAACTATCCGTTCCACGAATTTCAAACCGGTAGAAATTTACGTATGTCGCCAGTTTATCCTAAGCTGCGGGAAGCTGGCGCCGTTTTCGGCCAAGTTATGGGCTACGAAAGACCCACTTGGTTTGATCCTGAGGGACTACACGGTAAGAACATAAGAATATGTGTTTAAAGTAGAGATGGGAAAATTTTAGAAAACTTTCCATCGAAAATTCCCGAAATTTTCCGAAAGATAAAAAAAAAATATTGCGAAAATGAGGTTTATGTGCCAGGAGGATTGCAAAAATAAATAATTTTGGCTACCTCTATATGAATATTGAAAAGTAAAAGATACTAAAAATTGTATTGCAATAAAATATGAAAAAAAACTTCAGGCAAAATTAAATAAACATTTTTGAGTGAGCCTGAGTCTATCGTTTAAAAAAATACAGTTGCTACAATTATATTTATTAGTGCCACCCCATTAACATCTGACCAACCATCAGAATTGTCATATTATTGGCCTCTTGTACTTTATTTTTAACTACTTTTTAGATTCTAGCATATTCAGAGTTAAGCAATGTTGTATTTAATTTATTTCTTCTAGGTAGCTTGAAACTAGTTGCTTAAAAAGTATTACAACATCAGGGTTTTTGACTAAACTAAAGGGGCAAGAACTAGAGTAAATTTTTCAAGCCAATAGCTCTTCCAATTTATTATGTTCGTTAAGAGACATGTGAACAAATTCTTTTATGTTTCTAGTACTGACATTGCTACCTGGTGGACTCTTCTTGACTTTCAGTAGACTTAAAATTTTGTATAGATAATCTTATAATAAAAGATATTATCTTTCAGGGCACAAATACACTTTTATATGTTTTACAATTTTGGTTTGCATTACCGACATATATTTTTTACAGAACTTGCATTTTTTTGCACTATTTTGTAATAATTCCAAATATAAGATTTTTCTCGTAGCATTGTACTGTACCTATAAATAAACAAGAACAACGTTATAATGATTTTTAACTTTGTTTATTGTTTATATTTTGCTTACCTTTGAAAAGGATTTTATGCAAATGGTTTTTTGCAAACGATTTATGAATTGTGATGATAAGATCTTCAACAAACTAATAATCATAGAACATAACTAATACTATACTTCTTCTTTAGAATAACACAAAATAACTTCTTCTTAATCAGTTTTTTGGCCTTAACTGGCAAATCAGCTGTTAAACAATTGACATTTGCATAAAAAACAGGGAAAGTTTCCAAGGAAAGTTTCCGGGAAACTTTCAAAATGAAAATAAATTCCCGACTAAAAACTTTTCGATTCCCATCTCTAAAAAAATAAAATGAAAGTTTTAGTTTCAATTTAAAACATATATAAAATCCTACATTAGGTATGATACCAGGTTTATACCAGATCTGCATAATCATAGTTGTTGCAAAATTAAAATCTTTTTTAAAATAAAACTATCTGCTTATATTCCTCAAATGTAAAAATTAACGTTTTTGGAATATTGTTTATTTTATTGTTAGAAATGTTAAGAAGAAATCAAGACGACGAAAATCAGGATTGGTCTACTCCGTACCAAATGGCATACACAAACACCTACGGTAAACCTCCTTGGTTTGATTTTGTTGCAAGAGAATACGAAGCTTGTCGTGAAGGTGTAGGTATAAGTGACTATTCCTCGTTTACCAAAATTGACATGTGGGTAAGTTCTTTTTAATTACGAAAATAATTAAATTAAATAGTCTATAGCTGTCTCTTTTAAAGTCTAACGTTATTGTGTTATCAAAAACTAGAAAATTATACATTTTAAACGGAACCTAGAAAATGTATTTTTTTAATTATATTTATACATATTTTAATAAATTTATTTATATGTTATTCGCAATAGACGAAATCGCCGACTGCCCGAATTTTTTGTCCACAACCAGAGATATCCATATCCATATCTCTGTCCACAACGCGTTATGGGTATAGTAGTTTACTCACGATGCGATTAGAGACGTTTTTTTCAAACATTGAGTACCTAAAGCTTATTAAACAGAACGCGTTGTGGGTAAACTATGCTACCCACTACACGAAATAATTATTTGTGCGATTTTGTTTTGCATTGCGGTAGTTTACTCACGATGCGATAAGAGACGTTTTTTTCAAACATTGAGTAAAGCTTATTAAACAGAACGCGTTGTGGGTAAACTATGCTACCCACTACACGAAATAATTATTTGCGCGATTTTGTTTTGCATTGCGTTTGCCCCCGTCGCACTGTGGGCCCAATGTCCAAACTAGGTTGCATTAATTCAATTTTTTTTCTATTTACTTAAAACTTTAAAAATAATTAAACTTTGAGACTAACCAATGCTGGTAATTAATTATATAATTTATTTTTTCATTTTCCAGTGTTGCAACATTAGTATTTTTGGAAATTTATAAAATACAGGGTTATCTTCAACTAGTGTAACAAACCATGCCAACGTTATCTACGGATCAACATAATTCGATTTAACTCAAATTACCTATACACTAAGTTGCTTCGTTTAGTCGTTAGAGGCAAAGATAATATTATCTTTGGTTAGAGGCCTTTAAAGTTTTGAAAAATAACTATTTTTTTTAAATATCTTAAAAACGTATTAATGAATTTTGAATATTTTTGGAGTTTTAACTGCCAATTAACGTCGTTTGATGCTACACTCAGTTATCTTTATAAATTAGAATAATCAGAAAAGCAAGGTTAGGTACTAATTTTCGCTTGTATTTTTTTACTGCTGATGTAATGGTTACCAATTTGCTAGCAAATAGAAAGCTCACTTTGTTTAAAAACTTTTTTGTCTCTTGTAAAAGTTGGTTGAGCGGTTTAGCCAGAAAAAAATTATTTTGTAATGTCTGCATACCGGCTCAAAATTTCTCAAGTGTGCCACTTAAAAATTGATGGTCTAATTTTTCATCAATTAATATGGTTTTCAATCGGGTTAGGAGTAAAAACAACTGCCCTAAAATATTTTTGCAAAAAATCGATTTTTACAATACTTATTGATAATTACGGTTTTTGTGGATGTTTTTTTCAAAAATTGATTACTCCCGAACGGTTTATCAAAACTTAACATTTTTTATATCAAAATTTTCGTTGAAAAATATACTTTAAGATAAAAAATTTGTTGTTAGTGGCAAACCTTTAAAAAAACAAAAGAAAACTTTTTTTTTTAAACAATTGAAAATTAATAAAACTTCTCCGCCTGCCAGGAATGTTTTTCACATTTTTTCTGATTTTACAATCCCTTACGAAAATTTTGGTAAAAAAAAAAGTTATTATTTTTTAATAGGTCAAAAGTTATAAATGATTTTGTAACCGCGCGCGCTCCGACCTCTAGCGCTGGACGAGCACGTTCAGACGCGCGCGCGCTCAGCCATAAAACTTAAAACTCTCGAGATATAAATGATTTTCTGCCATAAGGAGCTACAAAACAATTTTTTATTTTATAGAAAAAATCCATGATTTCTTCAACATTGTTTATTTGCAAAATTTACAAAAAAAAACAATTTTCTTAAGAAAAATTGGACTGCTTAATCGAACGTTAATACAAAAAAGAACAGTTTCATGTATAAGTTATCGTAATTGCTTTTGTTTGACCGGAAAATATTCTGCACAATAATTTGTTTTTTGAAGGCTGGTAACAATGAAACGAACGTGTTTGACTTATCGTTTTTACATTCAAGAATCGTGATTTTAAGAATTCTCTATGCTTTTCATGCTCTTCATTGGTACAAAGATGAAAATGAATTTTTTTGCCCACTCGAACAATCGCTCGGGAGATGTTAATAATAAATCCGTATCTTTTTGCAAACTTGTAAAATACGCGTGTCTTTTGACGGTACCTCCTATTCCATCACAAGCACCTTTGCCGTGGGACGTAGCAAAAAAGTGCCACTCTGCATCGATTCCGAAATCTTTTTTATGATTAATCAAATTTAAAAATTGTACTTATTTTTATATTGTGACGCTGCCCCACCCGAAAAATAAAATATTTTCTTTTGCCGAATTTTTCCTTTAAATGAGAAATCAGTTTCCCGTTGAACAAATGTACAGCTACTGAATCGTGCTGCAGATTTTCCGAAAAAATTACGAAATTCCTATCTTGCAAAACATTGTTTTCCCTGTAATAGACAACAAAAACATGAAGCGTGATTTTATCTTTGCACCAATGTTGTGACTGAATTTCATTTTGTATTTTAAATGTATAATTTTCTGAAAAATCTTCAGTAACAATAAATTTTGCCTATGGTATTTTTAATTTTCGCCAAATATTTTGCCTGGGATGTTGCTATAAAATCATGTTTCAAAAGCACCAACAAATCTTTTGCAAGGTTTTCCAAAAAAACTTTTCTTGATTCTGTGACCACTGAAAATTGACATCTGTAAAAAAGGTTGTGCATGTACACACTGTTAGCAAGTCCCTATAATTATTTTTGCAAATAGGAAGTAAAAAATGTTTACCTATCAGTCGAGATCCACTGGTGAAATGAAATTTTTTTGATATTCTGATCCATTCTGATTATTAACATCTCCCGAGCGATTGTTCGAGTGGGCAAAACAATTTTTCAAAAAAATTCATTTTCATCTTTGTACCAATGAAGAGCATGAAAAGCATAGAGAATTCTTAAAATCACGATTCTTGAATGTAAAAACGATAAGTCAAACACGTTCGTTTCATTGTTACCAGCCTCCAAAAAACAAATTATTGTGCAGAATATTTTCCGGTCAAACAAAAGCAATTACGATAACTTATACATGAAACTGTTCTTTTTTGTATTAACGTTCGATTAAGCAGTCCAATTTTTCTTAAGAAAATTGTTTTTTTTTTTGTAAATTTTGCAAATAAACAATGTTGAAGAAATCATGGATTTTTTCTATAAAATAAAAAATTGTTTTGTAGCTCCTTATGGCAGAAAATCATTTATTTCTCGAGAGTTTTAAGTCGCACGATGGCTGAGCGCGCGCGCGTCTGAACGTGCTCGTCCAGCGCTAGAGGTCGGAGCGCGCGCGGTTACAAAATCATTTATAACTTTTGACCTATTAAAAAATAATAATTTTTTTTTTTACCAAAATTTTCGTAAGGGATTGTAAAATCAGAAAAAATGTGAAAAACATTCCTGGCAGGCGGAGAAGTTTTATTAATTTTCAATTGTTTAAAAAAAAAAGTTTTCTTTTGTTTTTTTAAAGGTTTGCCACTAACAACAAATTTTTTATCTTAAAGTATATTTTTCAACGAAAATTTTGATATAAAAAATGTTAAGTTTTGATAAACCGTTCGGGAGTAATCAATTTTTGAAAAAAACATCCACAAAAAACGTAATTATCAATAAGTATTGTAAAAATCGATTTTTTGCAAAAATATTTTAGGGCAGTTGTTTTTACTCCTAAACCGATTGAAAACCATAATAATTGATGAAAAATTAGACCATCAATTTTTAAGTGGCACACTTGAGAAATTTTGAGCCTACCTACTATCGATATATCGCGATAGTTACTATGTTTTATCCCGAAAACTATTGAACATCTAGAGATTCCTTTTCTGAAAAAGGTCAATTTGACTCAACGCAGTTGCTTCGTACAGCAGATAAAAAGTGAAATATAGAGTGTAGGTAATAGGTAATAGGTCTATAAAGAGGAGGGTTTTCGCATATTTTTTCGGTCACTTCCGGTTTCACCGGAAATGGGTCCAGGTTCAAAAAATTAAATAGAAACCCCTGTATATATTTACATTCTCGGATTCTAAACATAATTCTTAACTTAAATGTGATTTTGAGCAATTTTTAACAATGCATCTAGGCCACCTTGATGTTATATTAAAAACGAATAAAAAGAATTAGTAGGCTTAAACACTTTTAACAAATATTAAACGCAATGTTTATAATTTGCTCATTGCCCAAGCAATACATTCGATAAACAACTTAATATTAATATTAATTGTTAATATTTTCTTTTCTCAGAGGTTTACATTTTTGACTGGGATAAGTTTTGGTTAACAGTTTTTAGTAGTCTACATCTTTGTCTAATAAAAAATATATATATTGGCTTGGCATTCGTTGGCCTTCATATTTTTTTACTCTGCAAAACTTATAAAATTAAATATTCATGTTACTTACCTTATCAGTTCTTGCCTAAAACAAAAAAAAACAAGAATTTTCTATAATTTTATGTACCCAACACAACTAATTGACAGGTCTAATGTCAGTTATGAAATGTTTAAGGCGACTTTTGCTTTTCACGGCCCTCTAAGCTATAAAAAAAATCGCAAAAATCGTAGTTTTAATTAAAACGATTGCATTAAAAATAGACTTTCTTTTAAAGATCTGACTTTGGGCATTTATAAAAAAGTCTTCGTAGAGTATTTTCAAAAAGCAATTATGTTTTTACAAGTTTGAATATGTTTTTAATAAAACAATAGTGGCAAATTATACATTTTCAATAATGACTTATTGCAACCTAGTTTGGGCATAGGGCCCACAGTGCGTCGCGTTTTAGGTATTGTGTTTCACTCAGAATGCGTAATTAGGCAATGAATATAAATAAAAAAGGCATTTATTTAAACGCAAAGGTATAACATATATTATATGTTACTACATTTAAAAAAGATAGAGAAACGAGCTTAAAAAACAAACATTACTTATTCTTAGAAGAATAGCTCTTGTGGCATTTTGAATTGCATTTTATATTTCATTTTATGCACCTACATGCCTTCGTTTGACATTCTTTCAGGCAATTACATCGGCCTTGCTTAGACACAGAAGACTTGGGTTGGGTTGGGTCGGGTTCACAACAATACACGACAATTTACTTGTTTTATTTTACAAACGTCAGATAGTTGTTGACAGCTCGCCTTCAACGCCTTCTGAGTAAAACACAATAGTCAGAACGGGACGTGGGTAAACGAAATGGTCCGCAATGCAAAACAAAAGCGCGCGAATAATTATTTCGTGTCGTGGGTAGCAAAGTTTACCCACAACGCGTTCTGGTTAATTAGCTTTACTCACTGTTCGGAAAAAACGTTTATAACCGCATCGTGGGTAAACTACTATACCCACAACGCGTTGTGGACAAAAAATTCGGGCAATCGGCAAATTCGTGTATTGCGAATAACATATATATTAATATACTCATAAGGGTGGTCCCTAATAGGGTTGTTTTTAAATGTTTATGCCACTAGGCTTAAGGTAGTATTCTGTGGTATTATCTCCATTTTGAGAGTTTGATAAATAAATAACTATAGGATGTGACAGCAAATTCAGCGGTGAACATGAAGTAAAAATAAAACGTTGTAATTTAATTAACAAATTAATACTTTATTACAAATTAAAGTATCATTAAAAACTAAAAACAACATGAAAAGTAAATAAGTAACAATATATTATTTTATGAGAGATAACGCAGGCTATTATTCATGAGGGTGAGGTTTTCGTCTCGAGTCGCCAGACGAGAGACTTAAATCATCGAGTGAATAATGTGCATAATCTCGAGTGTAATATTATACTTTATCTACTCCAATAAGTAGATATTATAAATATGGAAACTCTTTAAATGGAAATACCACCTTAAACGTTTTCAAACTGATAAAATAAAATTCCCTAAAAAATGTGTCAATTCGAAATTTCCTATGGAATATACCGACAATAATGGAAAAAAATTCTTGTATAGAATTGGACGATCTATAAAAAGCCTTGATTAACGTTCAAAGTTTAATTTATATAAAATTATCATTCTGTCATGTAATTATGTAAATTTTGGAAAAATTAATTTTTTTAGTAAATATTAAATATTTTGTAAATATTAAAAAATTTGGTTTTGAAAATTTCTAAAGTTTTATATGTGTACCAAATTTTTAATATTTCTAACATTTCCTTTACAGATAATACCTTTCACAATAATAATTTTATATAAAATAAATTTTCAAGATTGATTAACTTGTGATCGCTTTTAATTACGAATTTTTTGTATTGGCTTTTTTGTAGAGCGTTCTACAAAAATATGTATTTTCCATAATTCTCGGTATATTCGTCAACGACTTATAAATTTTTAGAGCTAAACAATTTTTTCCCATGTTATTTCCATAGGACTATCTTAGAGTGAAAAAAGAACTCAAATTTTCAGGAAATGTTTTTTATTAGTTTAAAAGCAATCCTATTAAGGACCACCCTTATACTAATAGGTAATGCGCTCCAAAAAAGGCACCTTAGCTCAATATATCGATTTTGATTTCTTCTAATGCTTTTTGAATGGCGAAAACAAAAAGGTGTGGATGCTCGCTGTAAAATCTATTCTGAGTTTTTATTTATTTACAAAATATACCATTATTTTAATCATACTCAACATTGTATGATTTTTTAGTCAAAAGGCAATGAAGTGGTAAACGCCCTACAATTTGTATGTTCCAATGACGTCGATGTTCCCGTTGGTAGCATCATACACAGTGGTATGCAAAACAAATATGGCGGTTATGAAAATGATTGTTCTCTTGCCAGACTTTCGGAAAATCAGTATGTATAATCTTCTAACCAGAACAACGAATTCCTAATTTAATTACATAATGCATAATATGCTTCACCATCATCTTTAACTTTCTTCTCTAAAGTGGGTTTTTTGTCAAGGTTTTCTGTATTGAATTTATCTTTTAATATTAACTTAAAAATAATCGACGTGGTTAAAGTGGTTATTATGATAAGTTGTCAAACGAATCACAGATAAATAGTAAATATGGAAGTTTTAATTTTTGACATACAACCTATTGCATTTACCACGACGATATATTATTAAGTTAATATTTATTGAATAACTGTGGTCACTAGTGAAGGGAGAATCGAATGATTTTAAGAATCGAATACTTTGCATTCGAATAGTCTAAAGAATCGAATGATCATTCGAATGCAGAGAATCGAATAGTTTGTTCGGAATCGGAACCGATAATAGCCGAACACATTTATTGAATGAACGTTTTCGGAACAAACTATTCGATTCTCTGTATTCGAATGGTCATTTTATTTCTTGTTTACAATTCGTTATGGGCTAAGCGGGTTGGCGTCGCACTGGGTGCAATATAAATTCTAAACCGGCTAATATACCTACTAATTGATTCATGACATGCTTTCTTTATTTTTGTCATAAAACATAAACCATATTATTTGTCAGGTTTTGTAAATAGGTGAAAATTTATGGCCTATTTTAATAAAGTAAAAATGTATGCTCTTTATTTTTAATAAAATAATACCTTTTGATTAAAAATTAAAATCCTTAAGGAAATAGTCACCAAAATTCAACATTCTTTATTTTTAATTTGGTTGGAACGTCGGTTATATGTTTTATTTTTTGACATTTAAAAAGTTTTAATAATAATTGTTAGATAATTATTTTTTTGTTATATTTACTAGATTTTAGTACATATTAAAATTAACACAAGCAGTGCTGGTCCAGCTCGATGCAAGCCGATTCTCCATGCGATACAAAAAATCAACTTTGGCGTGAATTCGAATGCAGAGAAATCTCTCGTCTCCCACCTTCCGCTCGATGACACGCAAGCGCTTTCGATTCGATTCGAATAGTTCGAACTATTCGAATACTTTGTTGAGAATCGAATGCATTCGAATGCACGCCAGAATCGAATACTTCGATTATTTGTATTCGAATAGTCCCTTCACTAGTGGTCACCCATTTAAAACTAAAAAATATTTTTTTGCATATGCTAATTTTTGATGTTTTTCTTTTCTATTTAAAATTATCATTTAGTGACAATGCACAGTGCGCCTAATCTGCTAATAACTTGTGAGCGTATTTTTTAAATAAATAGCTACACAAGGAGAATGAACTCAATAGGGCAGCCTTACTTAAACTTTTTTTCTTGGGCTAAATACGTATGACTGCTACGCAAGGCCTATATTACAATAAAACAAAATAAATGACATTCTGATTGTTTACATTATGGGAAACTTTTGAAAATTTTAAATCCGGTTACATGCTACTCTACACACCACACGCATTTTTTGCATATGTGACGCGATTCGAGAAAAGAGACCTAGCATCCAAAAATCAAATTTTACATGAGAGTCAATTAAAGTTCGAGCGGCATAGGCGTTTGTGTAGTGATGCTCGACTTCAAAAATTAATAGCCATGTCAATTCCATCCAAACCTTTCAAAAGATCGTTTACCCCTCTACTTAAAAAATTGATAATCTCAAAAATCCTTTTTTGGGCCTAAGATCCCTTTTTTTGGATCGCGTCCAATATTTCATTTTAGCGTTTCAAAGATATCGGGTACCAGGTACCCTGTACCTACTAATTTCCAAACTTCCTATCCTTTTACTTCTTTTTTTATTTAAAAATTGCTCCCAGATTTGATTTGGTTTTAAATTAAAAAAATGTATTTAATAGCTTTGCGTTGTCAAATGCCAATGCAGAAAGTTGTAGCGGCGGTTTGTGTCAGGTATTTTATACTAACACAAGATTAACAATGACTTTTTGCGGGTGTTTGCCTACTTGCGTCCTGCGACTATTAATCTCCATTTTTTACAAATACTTATTAGAGGGGCTCGTCTAATGCCGTGTATTCTATAACTTTGATTCGAGAAGTTTCGACTCGTCAGTCATAGTTGGAAAGACTCCACGAGCAATAAAAATCTTGTCATATTACAGAAAAAATATTTCCCTTCTTTATTTCACAAGGCTGTTTAAGAAAAAGTATTTTACATTGTGTAGCCATTTTTGTATCAAAAAAATACTGTGGCTAGGCTTCGGGCTGCATAGTAAGGGTTGGCGGCCCGCTGTGACAGAACCTTCCTACTAAATCGCAGAAGTGGCGCTGATGTTCATGTTGTATGCAGTGACGTCTGCTCCACTGTCCAAAAAAAAAAACAACATACACAACCCGCAACCCTAGCGCTCTTTTATTTTGGGAAGCCAGTTGTATACATGGAAGTAACTACCTAAAAACTATTTTTAATAAAATAAATTTGCTTTTTTGTCATTGGAATATTTTTGCCTATATTACATTTTTAATATTTTTCTGTAAAGTTCCCGAAAAACGTACCATCGCCTGTTTCACAGAGTTTTAGAACACCCTGTATATAACGAAGTTCACATTTTCAAACTTAGTCTACGCTCGACGACTAACTGGCCACCGATCTAAACTTGTCGAAGCTTGTGTCTGGGTAAAGGGACGCGCAAATAGAAATTCAAATGTTTTTATTATACATAATTTTTAGAAACAATAGTACATTAAAGCTATTTGCAGCGCGACGACAATATAGCAATCAATATATATACAGCCCGTTCGGAGTAAAATTGAATATAGGGAAACGTTTTGGGCGTGGCCTCGCCTCCCTCCAACGCGCGTCACAGTAGCTTGTATGATAAACGACATGACGAAAGGTCGAGCAGGTAAGACGACCTTAAAAATTAAATGATAATAATGCAAAAAATCTCATTAGCGATGCAGGGTATTTGCTTAGCTACTTATACGTTTCCCTATATTCGGTTTTACTCTGAACGGGCTGTATATATTTTTCCCTGCACTATTTATCTTATATTATGCTTTGGCCATCTTTAGTTATATGATGATTGCTCCGACAATCCAACAAACAAGATGTAAGGTGTGGCTACAAAAACACCTGCCACCTACTGTAGCTCTGTCGGATGTCACCAGTATGTTTACCGCCTTATGTATAATGGGGCCTTTCACGAGATTATTGCTGTCAGAGCTTACCGATACCGATTTGGATCCCAAAAACTTTCCGTTCTTCACTTTTAAAATGTTGGATGTTGGTCTCGCTAACGGTATTAGAACCATGAATCTCACTCACACTGGAGAGCTGGGATATGTTCTTTATATACCCAATGAGGTAACAATTGAATTAGTAAGTGGAAGAAGGGTACACGTCAAAATGTAAAAAAAATTTTAGGATGTAAAAAAACGAATAATTTTTAAACCCTCCTACCCTTCTTCCATCAATTTAATTTGTTTTTAGATGTCCTAAAAAATAGAACTTAATTATTTCTTTATTGTATTAAAAGCAAATTTTTTGCATTGGATTAAAATTGTATTTATTCTTGCTCTACAAACAGGAAATTATTAAATATAGTAATTAATTAAAATAATATCAGGTCATTTTTTTTATTATTATTAGGTACTTTGTCAAAATTGGCCTAATGATATCTTTTTTGTTTTTTAGTTTGCTCTTCACGTGTATTCTAGTCTAATTCAAGCAGGTGAAAAGTACAATATTACGCACGCCGGTTATTACGCAACCAGAGCTTTGAGAGTCGAAAAATTCTTCGCATTTTGGGGACAAGATCTTGATACTAGAACGACACCGTTGGAGTGCGGTAGAGTTTGGCGGGTTAAATTTGACGTAAGATATTTAAATAATATAGTTTAATCAGTTTATTTATTTAAAAAAGTTTTATTTTGTGGTGTGTCATTTTCTTCTAGCGATATTAAGAAGTTTTTAAAATTTTAGGGGTTTGAAAACAAGCAGAAAAAATCATCAGGAATTTTTTTCTGAGTAATCAAAGATATAATTTTCCTGTTACTCTTACTGTCAATTTTTTATAAATTGGATAGCGTTTATCGAAAAGGAATCAAGCGCCAAAATTATTTGCAAAATAACTTAATTTTATAAAATTATAATTATAATTATAATGCAGCTCAAAAAATTAATAATGATTTGGGAACCCTCTCAATCCTTTTGAGAAAAATTTCAAATGATGATTAATCTTTTGAGCATTATTAAAAAGTTATTTTACAAATAATTTTACCAAGCCCAAAAAATGTTTATGGCGCATGGTTCCTTTTCGGTTTTAATTTACAGTAAGGGTGTACGACCTCTGTTTAGAAGTACAATCTAATAAAATAGTTGTAACATGTCGGATATTCTTCTGGATAACTAAAAAATGCATTTTCCTAATTTAATAATATAATAAATTTAAAAGTTAAGTGGTTCAAAATATAAAACTATTAAAACAACAATAGTCTAATTTTAGATAATTCAAGCTTTTGTTTTAATTCTAAATAAGTTTTATTTTTTTAGAAAAAAATGGATTTTATTGGCAGAGACGCTTTATTAAAACAAAGAGACGAAGGGATAAAAAGAATGTACATTCAACTTATTCTCGATGATCATGAACTTGAAACCGATCTTTGGCCTTGGGGTGGGGAACCAATTTATCGAAACGGTAAATATGTTGGTACATGTACCACAACAGGATATGGGTATACGTTTAAAAAACAAGTAAGATCGTGTATTTTATAAGAAAATATATTTTAAGACATGTCCACTTTCTTTAGGTATGCTTGGGTTTTATAGAAAATATAAATGAAGAAGGTGTAAAGCAAACAGTAACAAATGATTTTGTACTTGATGGAGATTATGAAGTTGATATTTCAGGAATTAGGTAAAAATAAAATAAAAACAATAGTACAAAAAACAATAAAGGATTTTTAGGTATCATGCTAGAGCAAGCATACATTCTCCAATTCTACCAACTAAATACCCAGATAAAGAACGTGATGTATACCAAGCAACCAGGGGAAAACATGATGAGGCCCAACAAATTCTTAAATCTATTTAAAATAATTATCATTACCTACATTAATTGAAAAAGTCTGTTAAAATGTTACCGTTATTTTAGCCATTAATTTATTTTTATTGTTGTGTTATGTAAATATTTAATCTAATAAACATTGCTAATTTATATATTTTTATTTTTTTATTGTTTATTTAACAAACGATCTTTTTATTTACACAATGTGTAAGTACATGGCGTGGCGCAAATAAACGACAATTTTTTTAGAATCTCCTTTGAAGACATGTTAGTTTTTCATATTTTAAGAGCTTTTTCCAAAAATCAGCTTTATTAAAACATTTTAAAGAGTCGCTAACCAATTTTGAATTTCAATGTATATTTTTGCTCGATAAACATAAAAAATGAATAATTTTCTCAAAATTTCAGCTCACAGTATAAATTTTTAAGGGTGGCTAATAAAGTTTTTTAGCTACCTTTAAATATTATTATTTTTATTTTACTTTCAATTTATATTATAACAAAAATACACTTGCTTTGTAAATAACAACAACCAAATTTATATACAATCACATATCTATAGATATATAACTCCTTTATGGATAATTGATGAATAACCACGGCCCTTGCATTTATTCTATCTTAAGTTGGGAGCAAGTTTTCAATTTAATTTTAAATTAGCTAAGCTGATGAGTTAGCTAGCTAATTAACTTAGCTAACTTTTTAGCCAGCTAAATTGTACAGCCCTATTATTTATTATGAGGCACATGCGCAAATGTTTCCATTTCCTCAACTGGAACAAAGTGCATCTCTATTTTACGGCAAGAACATTTAACACTATTTGAGGAGCCAAGGGATACAAATGAAATTTAAAAAAATGTAGTTAAGTACAGAAAAATATAGTAAATCGTACATTTTACTTGGTATCCAAGAGATAACTAAATTCTAAGCTTAGACATCCTGAAAAACAAAGTCATAAAACAACAAACAATTTTGATTCCAAATTACAAGTGTTTTTTTACTTTAAATATGATTATCTCAAAACTAAACAAAATGTACTTATACCTCTTGGCTTCTAGGGTCCTTAAATTAATTGTCGCTTATCCATATATATAGCTATACCTACTGTCCTACTATGGAGAAAGGCAGTAACTGCTAAAAAATGCAAGATGCGTTTTCTTGTGCTATGGTAAAGCTATGGACATTTTGTAACCGAATTCAACACAGAAATGCAGTCAAATATCTCATAAGTTAAAAAAATCAATTAAATACCTACTGCTTTTTATAAAAATGTAGTTTATGCTAATTTTCCACAAATTTCTTGTTTAGCAGTTATAACTGTGTTGAATTCGGTTACAAAATGTCCATAGCTTTACCATAGCACAAGAAAACGCATCTTGCATTTTTTTGCAGTTACTGCCTTTCTCCATAGTAGGGCAGTATAGGAGTGACTCCTAAGGAGTCATATCTTTGATTTTATTTGGAAAAAAATTAGTAGCCGATATAACTCGCAAAATTAGAAGAAAAGTTAAAATAAACTTGTATGTTAACAGCTTTAAAATTTTAAAGCTTAGTTTTGGAGATACATGGTTATTATATAATAAAGTGTACCTCCATAAAGTTTTGTCAATACAAAGTAATAAAGCTTCGACTGAATTTGATCTACATCGAAAAATCATTATAACTTTAAAATTTTTAATAAATCACATGTCATGGGAGTATTAAATATTTTCACATTGCAAGTTTCTCTAAAAATTGTTTGTTTTCTTATAATCTAAGGTAGGTACCCAGACCGCAAAATCACATTCCCTGCACATGTCAGGAATATTCCAAGCGTCCCAGAATATTCCCAGGAATATTCCTGGCATAATCAAATGTCCGCTTTTTGGTTAACCCAGGCATCATGAAAAGAATATTCCATATATCTGCCTGCAGAAGACCAAGGATTGTTAGGGGAATATTCCTTGATATAATTTGGGGATTATTCCCAGCCCTTATTGCCTCTTATACCCAGGAACTTAACTCAAGTATAGCCATTATTGAGTTACTGAGTAGATCAGTCCCACTCATGATACAAACAATACACTCTAATCATTGTTTGGCTGTGCCATCACAGACGCACATCTCCAACTAATATTATTAACCTATCGGTATATATAGTTATCAAGCGTGCGTAAGCAACGGTGAGAGGTATTGCAACTAAACTAATGAATATTCACTGGGAATATTCTTAGATGATCCTTGGAAGTTTTAGAGGATCATTCTAGGAATATTCCCAATGAATATTCCTAGAATGAAGCGGATTATTCCTAGGCGATAGGGAATATTCCTGGAATATTTTCGAACCTTCATTGCAGTCTGGGAATTGGACTGGGTTTAATTGCAATTTAATTCCAACGCTAAATACAAATAACGTATACATTTGTATAAACGGTGACAAAAAAATATTTTTATTATTGTTTCTTACGTCTTTTACGTCATTGATGTAAAATGTCAAAAACCAATTTTTTGATGTAGGTAAAGTTCATTTTTTTATCTGGACTGCGGCAACGTTGCAAATTTAGGGTTTTGTTGGTAAATACAGTTGTCAAGTTGGTCGCATTGATTAAAACAAACTAAGCTAGTTATAAATCTAATTGTGGTTATGTAGGTATAAATTATTGTAGGTTACATTGTGCAGTTGTCAAGTTGAGTTGTCAAAAAAGGCTGAAAAAGCCTAAAAGCCAATAAAACTTAAAAAAAAAAAAAAGTTTTGCCCTCAAAAGAGCTTTTACATTCGAATTCGTTGCTATTATTTTTGGCATAATTATCTTTTTATTTATAATTGACAAGTAATTATTTAAATTATCAATAATAAATATTATTGTCAATTTGACAGTGTAAATACTAAAAATACCAAGTCAAACTGACATAAGCCATCAACCTAACAAAAAAACACGAGTCCAGATAAAAAAAATGAACTGTACGTATCGCTTAATTGAAACATGCCATCGCTCCTGCGGCTTTGAAATACAAGACGAATGTCTGAGGCTCAGACTCTAAGCTATATCCTTACATTAATGACGTAGGGGTCAAGTTATAAATATTCAACTATTGCCCTTGTGGGGAAAAAATATGGGTTAGGTTATTCAATGAGTTAGGAATTAAATCGTTGTATAAACTGTTTCATAGCAGAAAGTACTATTTAACTTTTATGCTTATGCACTAAATTGTGAATTATAAAATAAATTAGTGATATGAAGCTGTATAAACCCGCCATAAATTATCAATGCTTGTATAAACCCGCCTTAAGGCACACAGTCTCACTCATAGAAATAACAGTGTTATTTCTATGGTCTCACTTTTATATAGATTCGAGTTGGTCGCACTGAAAAAAAAATAGGGATCTGTACAAAATTGACAGTACTTAATGTCAAAACTGTAATGTAAGCAAAATATTTTGAAGAAAATTAATATTTTACTTCTAACAACAAATTAAAAACCAACAGAAAAATGTCTCGTCACAGGGATATTAGGAATATGGATTTCCAAGACGGTAATTTTAAAAACATTTTATTAATGCAATATATGATTGCCAATAACAGGCCCAATTCACTAGTCTCCAGACAGTGTTCACACTGTTCAGTCCAAACTGAGCATTTAAACTGATACTGGCCACACATTTTTATGACCAGTCAGTCAGATTTTATCTTCAGTTCAGAACTTACAGATAGAAAATTGGAAATCACCTGTAAGTCAACATACACACACAGTGTGAAATAAATAGTTTTCAAAAGACAGTCCAGAAACCATATCTCCAAATAAAGAAAAAAGTTGCTAAAAATTAGTTGTCAGACATAAACTGATGACATTTGCACAAAGTTTTTTGTCAGTTTACCAAATCTGCAGGGCTGGACTTATTAGTAAGCTGTGTATGTGTGGTCATCAGGAACTGTAGTTAATTGGCCTGCCATCCACTGCCTGCAGATACTGATAAGTGAATAAAATACCTTCTTTATACATTGCATGTGCATTTTAGATTATGATGGATATGACGATGTTTACGGTCATTCAGTAGATGACGATTATTACATATCACCTAGTAATAAACAGTTTATATACAATCGAGACAACAGTCGTGATAAGAACATACAAGAAGAGGACGAAAAGGAGGCAGAGCTCTCAGATATGGACAAAGCCAAACTTGAATCTTGCATTACTCAAATTACTGAAATGTTAGGATCCACATTAATACCCAGAAATGAATTGGTCAATGTGATTATGAAATTTAATTACAACACAGAAAGGTCTTTAAATGCCCTTCTTGAACAACAAAATAAAGAACCAGAAAGAATAGAACAAGGTGAGTTGTCAATAAATTTAAATAATGGTAGGCATATGTATTTATCCAATTTTTTGTGCACTATATTAAATATGATTTTCTTCTTCTTTCATGTTCCTTTTACTTCTGTTTTTCAAAATTATGTAAGGTAAGATGTTGGAAATACAAAATGTTTAATACCTTCATTAAAAGGTGTTAAAATCACCCCTCAAAGTAAATTCACAATACCAAAACCCAATTTTAATAAAAGTTCAATCACGCCAAAATTTAACATACCTAAACCAAATTACAGTAAAAATTTGCAAGAAAACTTGAGTCCTGAATCAAAACCTAGGTTTAACATTCCAAAACCTAACTTTAATCAGGAAAATATGTCCCCAAAAAATACATTTGTAATACCAAAACTAGGATTTAAGCTAGATCCTAGCAAAATTGAATCAGATTCCAAAAATACGACGAACTTAAAGAATAATTCATTAAGTGAATACACAAGAAACCATTTTAAAACTCTTGAAACTAGCATAGATAATAAGGCCTCAAATATAACTCAAGGTGTTTCACAAATAAAATTGGAAGACAACACCTCCAAAGTTTTAGAAACAAAATTGTTAACAAACATACAAAATGTAGAAAAAGAATCCATAAAAAATGACTGGCACATTGATCTTTCAATGGCACTTAAACAAGTTAGTAGTTTACCCAGTTTAAATAAAAAGAAGGAAAACAAACAGCCAGAAAAGTTTGAAATCGAGTTTATATCCTGTGATGAAGAGGTTCTATATAAAAAAACAGTTAAAAGGAAACCTTTGACTTGTACTATGAATTTATCACATGTTTTAAATAATACTTTTAATAACAGTAAGGAAACTTCGCGTTTAGGCAAAGCATTATGCAGAAAATATAAACAAATATGTCCATTGATATTTAAAATTGATATTGTTGCTAGTAAATTTGATTTTAGAACGCCTTCACCTGATGATATTGTACAAAAAAATATAAATTTGTCTAGGTTAAATAATAAAGTTAAAAATTAATAATTTATTTATTTTAGTTAGGAACTTGACTTAATTCTGTAATTATATTAAAATAATAATAATCTCCAAAACAAAAAAGATAAATTATCCAAATCAACTTCACGTTTCCACACTTTGCAGGCGACGACGACATGCTCGTCAAGTTTATTTATTCGATCAATATCTTGTCTTATTTTTCATTTTTTAACCTTCTTAAAACTTCATTTTCAGATTTTTATACCTGGGTCTCGTTTTCTTTTTTCAGTGTCTATTTTTGTTCCTCATTGGGGTTGATTAAAACTTAACATCCATTTTTACTAACCTTTCAATTTCTTCAGCAAGTTTCAAATTCACGACTGATTTCTACTGCGTATATATATATATATATATATATATATATTAGGGTGCTTCAAAAAATATTTTTTTTCGCTCTTACCCTCCCAAATGTTTTTATTTAATATAAAAAAAATCCTCACCAAATATGGGCGTTCCAGCTCAACTCTAAGAGGTCGCTGTTTTCATTTTAGTTTCCCATTGAATTAACATGGGAAAAAATTAATTTATGTTTGGAATTTTATACCTCTGTATCAAAGTAACTTATGGCAATGATCATTGCAGTTTCTTATATAAAATTTAACGCTCTACAAAAAAGGTCTCTTATTATTCTCTTATTATTTTTTGAAGCACCCTAATATACAGGGTGTCCGGGAAAATGTGGAAAATCTCTCGGATTCAGATAGAACATGAAAAAATAAGATGACACGTTCCTATAAATTTTTTTCCTACTGGCCATCCTTACGGAGACATGGGCCCCGGAAGGACTCCCCTGCAAATTGGTTTTTCTTGAATAACTTTTAAAGTACTAAATATAATTTAATAAAAATTTAATATGATGGACCCTGGTAAGGACCTCTTAAAATAGTGTCATTAAAACATGTTTTGCTTTTTTTGTTTACCAGGGACGGACTAAGTTTTACTTCTTAATGCCTAAATTTTGAACACCCCGTATAACAAAGACTTAAAAAAACTAAATCTGCATAGCTTGAACCTTAAACTAAAATAAAGGTACTCTTGTTTATTGTCAATAAAATGAACCGTTTTCGAAAAAAAGAATAATAAACAAATTCACGTTTATTTTTAATAAAAACGACCATAAAAAAATAATATAACGTATTGTTGCAAACCTTAAATTGAAGGACGATAATTCTAAACAATTAATTAAAAACTTTATAAGAGGGTTCAACATGGGTTCCGTGAACTCTGATACATTCGCGGGCACGACGAATTGAGGACTGCTGTACCCGCCAGAATAACCCAGAATTGTTTCTTATCATATCACAATAAAACGTGATTATCTGTAGAAGTTTCTCCCTAGTATCTATCGGAGTGGAATACACAAAGTTTTTTTAGGTATCCCCACAGGAAAAAATCCATCAGCCTAAGGTCGGGAAATCGAGGAGGCCAGTCAATAGGTCCTCCTCTATCTGTCCAACGGTTTGGATAAACGTTATTCAAGTGCTCCCGCACAGCAACGCTGAAATGAGGTGGTGCCCCATCGTGCAAGAAGTACATGTTTAGGCGGGTTTCAAGTGGTAAGGGCTGGTAAGAGTAGTGCTAATGAAGTTTACATTATTTTGTTGCTGATTCAATAGCCAGTTTGCAAATTGCATTCTACAAGGAAAATCTTCAGAAATAAGTTTATGCACTTTTTGCATATGATAAGGATATAATAGCTGTTCTTAAAGAACATCATGCACTATTGTTTTCGACGTATTAAACTGTGCTGATAATTTTCGAGTGCTCGTTGAAGAAGTGTCATCTACAGCATTTAAAATATTTTTCAAACTTACCTAAAATTATGAAGAAAGTCAATAATATTACTTTAATAACTGAAATTGTCCACCATTCTCTTTAATACGTTGGTCAATTCGTTAAAATGTCTTCTGATTTCGAATAATAAGAAGAGAATGGTGAACAATTTCATTTATTAAAGTAATATTATTGACTTCCTTCATAATTTTAGGTACGTTTGTAAAAAAAGTTTTCTTTTCACGGATGAAGCAGGATTTACCAAAAAAGGTAACACACATGTATGGGCTGATGAAAATCCTCATGCCACTATTGTTTCGCATTTTCAACATCAGTTTCAACCAATTAATACGTGGGCAGGAATCATTGGCAATATTTTGATTGGACCATTCGTATTGCTGGCACAATTGAATGGACAACTTTTTTGGAGTTTCTCCAGAACGCTTTTCGGGATTTAATAGAGCCCTTACCACTTGAAACCCGTCTACACATGTACTTCTTGCACGTTGGGGCACCACCTCATTTCAGCGTTGCGGTGCGAGAGCACTTAAATAAAGTTTATCCAAACCGTTGGATAGGTAGAGGAGGACCTATTAACTAGCCTACTCGGTCTCCCCGACCTTACGCTGATAGATTTTTTCCTGTGGGGCCACCTAAAAAACTTGGTGTACTCCACTCTGATCAATATTAGGGAGAAACTTCTACAGATAATCACGTTTCATTGTGATATGATAAGAAACAATTCTGGTTATTCTGGCGGCTACAGCAGACCTCAATTTGTCGTGCCCGCGAATGTATCAGAGTTCACGGAACCCATGTTGAACCCTCTTATAAAGTTTTTAAATCATTGTTTCGAATTATCGTCCTTCAATTTAAGGTTTGCAACAATACGTTATATTATTTTTTTATGGTCCTTTTTATTAAAAATAAAACATGAATTCGTTTATTATTCTTTTTTTCGAAAACGGTTCATTTTATTGACAATAAACAAGAGTACCTTTATTTTAGTTTAAGGTTCAAGCTATGCAAATTTAGTTTTTTTAAGTATTTATCATACGGGGTGTTCAAAGTTTAAGCATTAAGAAGTAAAACTTAGTCCGCCCCTGGTAAACAAAAAAAGCAAAACATGTTTCAATGACATTATTATAAGAGATCCTTACCAGGGTCCATCATATTAAATTTTTATTAAATTATATTTAGTACTTTAAAAGTTATTCAAGGAAAACCAATTTGCAGGGGAGTCCTTTCGGGGCCCATGTCTCCGTAAGGATGGCCAGTAGGAAAAAATTTATAGGAACGTGTCATCTTATTTTTTCATGCTCTATCTGAATCCGAGAGATTTCCCACATTTTCCCGGACACCCTGTATATATATATATATATATATCAGCCGACGGTGGACTAGTGGTCAGTGCTGCTGACTACAAGCCGAAAGGTCGTAGGTTCGAATTCCACCAGGGGTATGGCTGGATATTTGTGTTTGTCCTATTGTGTATTAGTCCTTCGGAGGGGACGTTCCTACCCCTAACCCGCTCAAGCCATTTAGTTGGCTTCTGGAACTTCTTAGAAAGGAAGGGTGGAACTAAAAAGAGCACTTTTAAGTGTCCCAAAAAAATTAAAAGTGTGGTTATGTAGGTACTAAAAAATACTTTTTTTCTACGTATAAAGAAAATTGGAAAATTGATCAGTATACAGGGAATAACAAAAAGTTTATTTTTTTTCAATGGATCACCCTATATATGTATTTATTCTTCGATTCCTTGTAACATTCTAAGCATATTTCATTTAACATACCATATACCTAAATTCAACCGTTTCTAAATCAAGGAAGATATTGAAGAAACGCTAGAGACAAAATTTTGTGAATAAACTAATTTTACCAAATTTGACAGTACAAAAAATAGTTTGATGGGATTCAGGACTACATGATCATGAAAAATATATTGCTTACCAAATTTGGATAATTTATCTTTTATAGTCCATATGATATTAAAGTAAATTTTTTAAATACTTTGGGCAAACCTTCCAATTTATTTATTTATCGTGGTTTTTATATTGTTTATATTATATTTAGTGTAGGTATAAGTTATTTTATCATAATATTTAAATCCATTTATTAATACAATTAAATAAATGGTATTATATTATTTATTTGAGCAATAACAAACTAAATTCTGTAGAATTCCTAAATAATAATTGGAAATAAACATTGGAAAATACCTTAATGTATATTTAATGCAATAGATTTTAATTTTATTTATTTATTATGGTTTGGTAATATGTTTGTGATTTTAAAACAAAAAAAATCGTTTTGGCATTGTAACTAATAAAAACATTTCTTCAATAACACATCCTTTTGGCGAAATCGCGATTAAAATTGTAAAATTTAAAGTCGTCGCAATCCCGCGCACTACCATCGTGCCGGCCGACACGGCTGACAAAATAGTGAAGGTGACCGCTCCGCAGCAGAACCCTTTGTCGGTGACAAAGGGCTTCGAGCTGCCACCTGCGCGTCTTGACATCAGCAAATTGCAAGCGACGTCGCGATCGCAGTCGCCCGCGTCGGGCAGGGGAACCCCAGTCAACCAGGAGGTGCCAGACGAGCTGAAAACGACCAGAAGAGAGAACAAAATAGATCCGGACACACAGTACAAGAAGGAGAGAGGAGAAGGCAAGGAGCACTTGTACATGGTGGTCATTGGGCACGTCGACGCCGGGAAATCCACCTTGATGGGCCATCTGTTGTGCGAACTAGGACAGGTAAAATTTTTTGTATTAAAATGAACAACATTTAAGTCTAAACATAAAAAATCATATCATTATCAATAATTATTAATTTATTATGATTTTTTTTTGTGTGGGCAAATGTATCAATTATTATTATCTAAACAACCTAACAAAAAAACACGAGTCCAGATAAAAAAAGAACTGTAAGGTTACCATTGATCCAACTTTCGCCTGTCAAGAATACCCGTGAAAGTGAGGTTAGCGTTTTACCCTTCAAAATTATCTAGGCCCGTGACTTCACACGGCCAATATTTTGCCTCACACGATCAATATCATCAAATATTAACAATATTATTGAACGTCTGAGCGTAACATTTGTTTGAGAAGGGATCTTTGATCAATGAAAAAAAACGATAAATCCAAGTGGCTTGTAAATGTTGTTTACAGTCTTAATCTAACTTATTCTAATACAACTAAATAAATCTCCAAATATCCCAGTAGGAAGTAGGCTTTGGGTCAATTTTAGCAACAGCCAAATTTTTGGCCAAAGTTACATTTTTTATAAATTTTTTTAATAAAACCATACACCTTAAAATACCCGAACATCGGCTCCGGCCGAAAACTCACCTTCGGACGGATCACAGAACATACTAATAATTTGTAAAGTATAACGGTTGTACTATAACCTATATCGCCAGCGGCCGGTGCCGAAAGTGGTTAAAGGCCAATAGATGTGTAGGTACCATTAAATGTATATAGATATGGATTCGAATTCTGAACTTTTTTTCTGTTGCCTGTGACTCTGAGTGTGTATCGCAGTGGCTCGAAAACCAACAACGGTGGAAATGTGTACCCTTTTCGTCCAGAAGACTTAATTCCCAACCAAATTTTTCCAAGGCCATTTTTTAAAAGAGGCATTAATGCTCAAAAATTGGTTATTTTTTGGAATTTGTCTTAACAGATGTCACAATTCTTTTTAAGATCATTCCTCTGAACACAGAATTGTGTTCAGAATTAAGAAGAAGAATTCTTTTTAATTGATGAATAAAAATTTTAATAATAGAATTACTTTTTTTAGATAATAAGGATTGCTACATTTTGCCCCTATTAAAAATTTATTATTAATTATAATAATAATTTTGTATTTAGGTAAATCAAAAAGTGATGCATAAATACGAGCAAGAAAGTAAAAAACTAGGCAAACAAAGTTTCATGTATGCCTGGGTGTTGGACGAAACTGGCGAAGAAAGAACCAGAGGGATTACAATGGACGTAGGAAGGTTCCAATTTGAAACTAAAACCAAAGCGGTAACATTATTGGATGCACCAGGTCACAGAGATTTTATCCCGAACATGATTTCTGGCGCTGGACAAGCCGACGTGGCTCTTATGGTCGTAGACGCAACAAGGGGAGAATTTGAGTCGGGATTCGACTATGGCGGACAAACTAGAGAACACGCGCTCCTGGTTAGATCATTAGGTAAGGTACCTACCTGTCTTGACAAAACAACAACAGCGTTTCGTTAAGTTTGCTATTTTTTTTACCCGCCGATGCGGGTCGCACAACAATCTCAACTTCATATGAGCCCATAATATGTTATTATTTCAGTATGCTTGATAGTGCGGAAAGTAAATAACTATTTTATGAATTTTACCGCACATTCTAAGCCCTTAAAACTTACAAGTGTTTAAATGAGCACTTTTTGTTAAACTTGTGATCATACGGGAAGAGTATTAGAGATTGCAGTTTAGTACAACATTTTGGGGCTTAAGCTGGATTTATAGTTTTAAAGGTAACGGTAGAGGCAGCGGTAAAGGTAGCGGTAGAGGTAGCGGTAGCCGAGTTCGGCATTGATTATTATATAAAACAATTTATAGTTATCAGAGGTAGCGGTAAGGGAGGTAGAGGCAAGAACGTAGCGGCAAGAGATGACCATCTTTCATCTTTTCTTACCTCAACCGCTACTCCAGCCAATCACACGGCAGTTTTTAGTTAGCAGTTTCGCCTTGTAAATTTAGTTTTATGCGAGGGCCAACCAGACTTGATAATTTGTCAAAAATGGGCACCGTCATTTGTGTATTTAAAGAACTACTCTTTATCATTCAGTTTTATTTTATTTTAATACTGGAAATGGCGTTTCTTAGCTCGTTCCCGATTTAATTCCCTCGTTTTATAGCGACGTACTTGACGACCCCCATAACGTACTTTAAACCCTGCAATACAACATAATATATTGTTTTGCAGGGTTTATTATATAATATTTCGCACAACGCCATATGGCCCAGAAGCACAGTTGTGCTAGCATTGTCCTCGCAATCCATGTTTTCGTAGAATACTTAACCTTTTGCTGTCAAATTTTTCAAACAAAATTACAATCTGCATTAAAGTACGCATGCACCACCAGTACCGCTACTTTCTGAACTATAAATTGCAGAAAGTGATACCGCTACCGCTACCTTTACCTCTACCTTTACCGCTGCGGCAGCGGCGCTGCCTCTACCGTTACCTTTAAAACTATAAATCCAACTTTAGTGTTCCCAGAACCAATAAAAACATTTTTCAGAAAAGTTGCCAGATTGTCAAAGTTTTAATAACTTACTCTATTTTAGGACATTTTGATAAACTTTTTAAAATATTTTAAAATATTCCAAAATGTCCTAAAACTGCCTGTTTAAAATATTTAAAAAAAGTCTTAAAATTACCTGAACTTTCTAAAATGTATTCAGTTTTAGATTGATAATTTTAGGACTGTTTTGTAATATTTTAGAAAAACTGGACATTTTGGAATTTTTTAAGATAATTTATACAATTTTTTGCGACATTTTGCATAAATAAATAATAATACTTTGTTTGTTGGTTACATTACTTTTTGATGATATTGTTACGTTTTTTGTTGATTCTTCAGCATTTTGTGTTATATGGAACTAACGATTTTTTAGCAACCTAAGACATATAACAATAAGCATATTTATTAAAAGAAGAAAACAATTAATTAAAATTTGCATAACATATTGAGTTCTGTTGATCATGCCAAAATTTATCTGATTTTTCTAATAAGCTTGCGTGTACCTGGGACTTTTATTGCTATGAGATTTTGTACTCATTTTTGTGTATTGTATTGTATAATGTATATTGTATGCCCATATCCTATCTGTAACTGACTATGTCGTAAATAATGTATTATTATTATTAGCAAAAAATAATTTTCATATTAATACTAGTTCAAAAGTCAAATTACGACCTCTATACTGTGAAGAGTATTGAAACGCTCGACTGACGAATACAAATCTATACCGTGGCGAGATTTAGAAAACTGTATTCAAACGTGGCGTCATCCAATACACTTATATATTTTTCCGTTTGCTCTCTAGGTACATTTAATTATCTACCAAATTCTTTTTTACAATTTAATTCTATTATTAATATTTAAAAAGTTATATGGGTACTTGTTAAGTCTTATTTTTATAATTTTTTAATTATACCTAAGATTGTTTTCTTAAAAGTAAGACTATGAGAATCGATGAGCATATAACTTTTTAACTATTAAAGATATAACAAATTTGGTTTTAAATAACCTACAAATGTACTGTTTAACTTTGTGAACCATTATCAATAAATAAAAAGGGCGTAATTCAGTATATTGCCAAGCGAAATATTAGCGATATAAACTTGACTAATTAACATGTTTTGTAGAGATTTTAATACTCCTATAGGTATAGGACCATCAGTCGTTTATATAAAAAAATGGTTACATAGCTATAGCTTGCAGAAATTACTCCTAAAGAAATAAAAAAATTTATTTCAGCATAATCTGAGGAATTTTTATATTAAATAAAAAAACTATATCGCTTTTTTCTAAACACCCCCACAATTACTAAGATGTCATTTTGTAGGTGTATCTCAGTTAGCAGTTGCAATAAACAAATTGGACACAGTGTCTTGGTCTCAAGAAAGATTTGACGATATAGTGAAAAAACTGAAGGTCTTTTTGAAGCAGGCCGGCTTTAGAGAATCCGACGTGACATTTGTACCGTGCAGTGGTCTAACCGGTCAAAATCTTATTGAAAAACCGACTGAAAATGAACTTTTGGTTTGGTATAATGGACCTTGTCTATTAGAAACGATAGGTAAAGTATTGTATTGAGCTGTGGAATTATATTATTATCAGAAGCAATATTTTTTATTAGATAAATTCAAGTCTCCCCAACGCCCAGTCAGCAAGCCATTCCGACTTTCTATTAACGACATTTTTAAGGTAATTTAATAATCCACTTTGATGAATTGCTTGATAAATTTAGTTATTTTAGGGCACAGGTTCAGCATTTTGTGTTTCTGGTAGGGTTGAAACAGGAGCTTTAAATGTAAGTGACAAAGTTTTGGTTTGTCCAAATAGAGAATCCGCCATAGTCAAGTCTTTGTCTATTGAGGAGGCTTCTCAGTTAGTTGTATTTGCAGGTAAATATAAAAGGCTGTAATTTGCTTAATTTATAAATTTTAATACATACTCGTAAATACATATGTATATTTGGGTGATTTTTTTTAAAGGAACATTTATTTTTTGTCACTCCCCAAGCAAAATATTGATTAGAAGAGATATCAAACAAATTTAAATACCGAAAACACGGGTAGCTTTAGCTGACTTTCAAACTGAAGCTTACAATTTTTGTGGTTTTAACAATCAAAAATATTAAATGTTTATACCAAAATTTGAGTCTTAAGTTGCTCTTTCATAATAACTATGTTATAATATTATATAAGTTTCAAAAATACAAATTAAAAACTGGATGTGCAAAGTTACCCCCTGATTGCGGGTAACTTTGTCCCACAGTGTATTTTCCGTATAAAATTAAGTCAATATACCTATTGCAAGGGATTACCGAAAAAAAAAAGAAGTGTAGTTAACCAAGAATCATCATTTCAAAGGATTGCGCCTAATATAGAAATTGTACCGCTTGTATTTCTAAGAGTTCTGCACTGATGCATGTAGGTGTAATAAATCCCATTTATTTCTTTAAAACACTGATTTTCCTGTAATATAAACTCAATAGAATCGCTCAATTGACAGGTTTAGACCAACAAATTATAAATATTAATTTTATCGAGCGCGAAAATATTTTCAATAAAAACTTTTTATTAAAAAGGTTAGTCACCCGCGGGGTGCAAAGCCACCCGTGTTTACGGTACATGGTTTAAAAAAATCAAAAACAAAAAAGCATTGGTAAATTTAATAAAATAGCATTGACATTGTTTTTTTTAATAAAACACTCTGTATTTTTTTGAGTATTTATCTGGTTTCAAAAATATATAGGTAGTTTGTATATATTTGTGTTAAGTTTTTTGTTAATATAATTTTTGGGTCAGTTAAACTGACCCGAAAATTATGCTAAATTTAACCCGAGAATAGTTGTCATGATAAATAACTTTTACCCTAAAATAAGCATAGCGTTTGGCACAATTATTAGCGCTTTGTTAAAAATTAATAAGATAGTTCTTTATCCATGGCAACTATTATTTTTACGTTAATAAGCCAGGTTTTTGGTTCAATTATTAATAAAATGTTCAAATTTACATACAAATTATATATTTATCCATGGCAACTATTATTTTTACGTTAATAAGCCAGGTTTTTGGTTCAATTATTAATAAAATGTTCAAATTTACATACAAATTATATATTTATGAAATTAAAATAACTATCTAAATATTTAAAAATATACAGGTGTTCCATTGAAAAAAAACTGTTACCTACATTTATTTTTTCAATTTTTTAGTTTTTGTCAAAAAATTACTTTTTTAATTTTTTAATCTCTTTAAATAAAGATTAAAGAGGGGCATCCCATTTATAATAACTATATTATAATGCAATGCTCACCTATATTTAGAATATGTACTTTGTTTAATAGCATAAGTGATATATGTGATATTCACAATAGTCCCCTATCATATATTATTGAATGTTTTTTTGGCAGATTTTAATTTATCTGAAATGTTGTTCATTGTTTATTTTACTGTACTGTTAATAACATTTCCTGTAATTGGGTGTATTCCTGTTGGAAATAAATTATTATTATTATTATTATTATTATTATACGAAAACACCTTGTACATGTCGAGAAAAAAAATTCCGTTAAAGTTTTACCCCTTAATCTTACTCCTAAGTACTTTTATTTTGTTTTTAAAGTTTTCTCATTAAAATAACAGCAAATTAAGGATTTTCTTTTAATTTCCTTGGCGACATTGTATGTTACTACAAATAACGTACGTTTTATTTGTACATGATTTGATACCTTTTTAAAGTACTTGCAACAATTTTACATTAATATATTTAACCATGCATACGTCACCAAAGTCATATTAAAAATATGACTTTGGTGACCCCTAATGTACATTCTGAATATTTTTTAGGGGATCAAGCTACAGTAACATTGTCTGGCATTGAAATGCAGAATGTATCTGTTGGGAACATACTATGTGACCCAATAAGACCTGTACAAGTTGCCACAAAGTTTCAAGCTAGGATAGTAGTTTTTAATGTACAAGTTCCAATAACAAAAGGATATTCTGTAAGATTGTATTTTTGTATTAAATTTATTTTTATTAAAAAATATATTTGTAGGTGGTTTTACATCATCAATCCCTAGTGGAACCTGCAGTGATCACCAAACTCATTTCCCAGTTAAATAAAAGTACAGGGGAGTTGGAAAAGAAACATCCAAGGTTTTTGGGCAACAATACCAGTGCCACAATTGAGATTCAAGTACAAAGACCCATTGCCTTGGAATTATACAGTGAGTGCAAAGAATTGGGTAGAGTTATGTTGAGGCAGGGTGGAGTTACAATTGCAGCTGGTTTAATTACTAATATTACAGTGTAAATATTTTGTTAATAAATTTATATTAAGTGTATTTTTATACCTTTATTTAATAAAAACCTATATTAATATCACATAAAATAATATATCTCCATATTCAGTCAACAATTATATGTATAAGGAGCCATCAGCAGGGCCCAAATAATGAAGTGATATTAAAATAACATCAATAATAGTCCACACACCAAGTCCTCCAAAACTGAATAATTTTCCAATACCTTCTTGCCAGTGTCCCAAATAAAATCTATCAGCTCCAAATCCTCCCAGGGTTATGCTCAAAGCCAAAGCTGTGGACCAGGAATGCCCCCCTGTCCAATTGCAGTGAACCATTTTATTGAATCGTCTATTACCAAGGCAAATAACCTCACTTTTAACAGTGCAATTGGTTTTGTAGACATTTCTTGGAGAGCTTACAGAGTTACAGTGAGCTTTTAGAAGGCAGTCATGCTCCCAATGTTGTGTTTGATAGCAGTATTTGCAGGAGAAGATTTTGGTGAACTCCCTTTTACCATAACAAATAACCTTTGCTTTTGGAGAACATGTAGCACTGGTTTCTTGGCCATATCTACATGAGTTATTAAACTTGCATGTAATACAATCGCCATTGAGATCTTTGCATTGAATGTTTGAGGGGCATATCATAACAGAATCCTTGAGGAAATCTTCTGAGGTAATGGATGTGTTCATTTTGTCTTGACTACTTTGAATTTTATTTTCGTCCACCATATGGATTTTATGGACATTGTTTACCAAAAATGTTAAAAGTATAAATGTAGCCCTTCTTATATTAATGTGCAAACATTTCATGATGAAAATAAATTTAATGTAAATACTACCATAACCTTATTTTTATATTTTGACAGATAACATTTAATGCTTTTATGTTGGCACCACTTGTCGGACAGATTATAAAGTCTGAAACAGTGTTGCCAAGCGTACGATATTTATCGTACCTGTACGATAATTTAATGCCGGGTCTACAATTGTCGCAGGTCGCAGATCGCAGAACATAAGCTTGCGCAAAGCACCCAGCTGACAAAAGAACCTTGTTCGATCGCCACGTCGAGGGGTGCTTTGCGCAAGCTTATGTTCTGCGATCGGACCCCTGCGACAATTGTAGACCCGGCTTAAGTTACTTTACGATATACGATAGCAAATGTACTATCGTACGCAAATATACGATAATTTTGAAATTATTTCAGCATAAATTTTAACATAAATATTCTTTAAAATATTCCTATTTTGCATAAAGTTCATTTTTTTTATCTGGACTGCGGCAACGTTGCAAATTTAGGGTTTTGGTTGGTAAATACAGTTGTCAAGTTGGTCGCATTGATTAAAACAAACTAAGCTAGTTATAAATCTAATTGTCATTCGGGTTTCGTTCTTCGAAGAGTGCACTTGGTTCATGACCTGTGACCCTGGAGGGACGAAATTGGAATCCCAGCACAAAAATACGCTGGTCAGTGTCATAAATACAAAATCTACAATAGATTTGTTAATGTACGAACAATTTCCACGATGGATGACTGAAATATTTAAAGAAAAGTCTGTGCATGTGCCATGTGGTTCATGGTTGGAACTGAAAAAAATAATGGAGTTTAGAAGTGTATTATTATGTTAAATGTATGGATCATGAATGTAACGTAAGGTGTTTAGAAGGATGGTGAATAAATCTAATTTTGTGAATAAAGAAGTGAAAAAAGAAACTAAAAGTGACAAAAATAATAATAAATAAAATATAAAACCAAGAAGAAAAGGAGTAAGCTATAGGTTATCCTAGACTCGCTTGCTCCAGCCTATAATATTGAATAAAATACAGCTGGCTAATTCCCGGAAGGGAAAGGCCAATCAAACCGAAGAAGAAGAAGAAGAAGAAATCTAATTGTGGTTATGTATAAATTAGGGATGCACCGGAATTCCGGCGGTACCACTAAATCCGGCCGATCCGGCCAGTTGGCGGTAGTTCCGGCCGGATCGCTTTCCGGCCGGAATTTTCGGAACTTTTTGGAAATGTTTAAGTTTTAAATTTTTAATATAATTTAAATTCAAATATATGCAAAAATAAAGAAAATTATTTTAAATTAATAATGAAATGACCTGCAGCCAGGTGCCTTTGCTTATGATTAGCAGGCGTCTGGGATTTCCCGACTTTCGCGTCTGTGATTCCCCGACTTTCGCGTCTGGGATGATCCGACTTTCGACCAGATATTTTTATAATTGGTCAACAGTGAAGGGTGTCCGTGTTTCCTTGCCTATGATAGACCGGCGGTTGTGGTTCCCCGACTTCTTTTTAATTTTTTTATTATTGGCAGGTGGCTGCTATTCTCCAATTAAATGAGTAGAATTGTTTTAATTTTGTTAACGCTAATTAAAAATTAATATTTAAATAAACAGTAATTTCAATCTAGGTAAAATTAATAGTATATTATAATAAACACTCTGCATACTGTAGTTAGTTTAAAAAAAAGTAAAAATGAATCAGCCTCAATATTTTTAATGTTTTACGTATAAAAATAGGCATGCACATACATTTTAAATTTAGGTCCCGATCCGGCCGGAGTTCCGGCCAGCGGCCGAAATTTCGGTTCCGGCAGGATCGGCAAAATACCCGATCCGGTGCATCCCTAGTATAAATTATTGTAGGTTACATTGTGCAGTTGTCAAGAGTTGAGTTGTCGAAATTCGTAGTTAAAAATGCGATTAATTTGGCTTTGGTGGTGCTTGGATAAGTAAAATCATATAAAAAATTAGTTAAATATAGGTTGCTTTACGGTCCAGAAGAGAAAGTATTCCTAGCGGATAATAATCTTCGCTTTGAAAAGAATTTAAGTATATAAAAGAATTTAAAATTTTTTGTGTACGTAAATGTTGTCCAATGGTGAATAATGTGAAAATAATGTGATGTAATATTTATAAAACCAAATTCGTTACTTTTTTACTCCAAAAATGTCCATAAGGCGAAGTACTTTTTCTTCCATTGTGGCATTTGGCATAATTTCATGAAAATGAAGTGTTGCCCTCAAAAGGGCTTTTACATTCGAGTTCGTTGCTATTATTTTTGGCATAATAATTATAAAAAAAATGAATTGTATAATATACAATTCATTTTTTTTATATTATATGCGAACAAACCATGCGATGCGAAGGTTGACAACTGGAATATTTCACACGCGACATTGACCCGGGGTCAATATCGGGGGTATAAAAAATATTTAATTTATTACAATCAATATTTTTTTTATTCACAATTTTAAGTTCCATAATATGTACATATTATGTAATGTAACATTTTGATATTTTAAACAGAGTTCAAGTTATTTTTACGTTATACCAGCCAAATGTGATATTTTATAATACAGGGTAGGGATGCGCATCGAATACAAAAACATCGATGTTGGCATCGATGTTGACATCGAAGGTTGAATATCGATGTCATCGATATATCGGGTAGAAAACATCGATTTTTCAAAAAAATCGATGTTTCAAACTAAAACACAAGTCTAAGAAAAACATGTATAAAATATATTTATTTTCAACTTATAAAAAAATACACATAAAAAAATAAACAAAATAAACTTAATTTCTCTTTTTTTAATTTAAAAATCAAAATAAACCTAAATTATCAGTCAAAAAAAGTTAAGTTAAATCCCAATTTTGCCTATCCAAGTTCTGTAGAAACAGTTATTTAGACAACAGTAACATCGCAAAGTCTAACATCGATGTCATTAAAACATCGAAAATACAAGATCGATGTTAAAAAATCGATGTTCACTTCATTAAAATCGATGTTTGACGAACATCGAATATTCGATGCGCATCCCTAATACAGGGCCTTCCAAATTATTTGCACCCTTTTAATTTCTAAACAGCATTAAATTTGTTTCACACTAATTTGTCTACCCCAAATTTTTTTGTGAATTAGAAATAAAAGGGGACTAATAATTTGGAACAATTACATCCAATGGATATCCAATGGATTTCTTTTATGGATATCCAGGATATACATAGGATATCCGGGATATCCAATGGATAACCATTGGATATATAAATGTCCGACCCTCCTGGACATAGTGTGGATATCCAATGGATACCGTGGATATAGTATTGTATGCAATATGGTTGTAATCTGTATTCAATATGGAGATTGTATAGATATCCAATGGATAACCATTGGATATATAAATGTCCGACCCTCCTGGACATAGTGTGGATATCCAATGGATACCGTGGATATAGTATTGTATGCAATATGGTTGTAATCTGTATTCAATATGGAGATTGTATAGATATCCAATGGATAACCATTGGATATATAAATGTCCGACCCTCCTGGACATAGTGTGGATATCCAATGGATACCCAGTGGATATAGTATTGTATGCAATATGGTTGTAATCTGTATTCAATATGGAGATTGTATGGATATCCAATGGATAACCATTGGATATATAAATGTCCGACCCTCCTGGACATAGTGTGGATATCCAATGGATACCCAGTGGATATAGTATTGTATGCAATATGGTTGTCATCTGTATTGGATATGGTGAATCAATGGATATTTACTTTTCAATAAATAACATTGGGTTTTAAAATAAAAGTCTTATTCTTTAATTTAAATATTTATTTTTATGAAAACATAAAATAGAACAGAAAACTACATATAACTAGAGAAGTGCTTGCCATCACTCCTCCAGCTGTCATTTGCCTTTTTATCAGCCTAATCATTTAGGGCCTATTTCACCTGTCTCCTTATGATCCCCAAAATTTGGCCAATCCATCAGCCCATTTGTTTAAAAATGCCAAGGTTTTACTACTACGCCAGTAGTTGGCAACCAAAATGACAAATATTACACAAGCCGACACATCTCTCCACCGTGCCTGGCCCGAAACGCATCTCTCGGGTTGACATGGCACAATGACTAATGTGCCATGCCCACCAACACTGACAGACAGACTGTTTTGACCTGTTGGGTCTCATCAGTGTCAGGCAGTTGGTGCCGAGAGACACGCTTCAAGCCAAGCAACCGCCCACCTATATACTAGTTGGGCGACCTGGACAGCGGCGAGATGCAGCGGCATTTATCTTCTGTGTTCGCCGGCAGTGTTGTCAGACGTTTAAATAATTTCAGAAAGCTCATCAAATGGCGGTTATATTATTAAATCTTTAATACTTAATTAATTAGTATACCTAGTATACCTATTTGACATAAATGTGGTGAATAATTATTTTAAATTTATTTATTTTTTTTATTGTATTGCAGACTGTCATAGTCATATTATTAACAGAAATAATATTATTAATATATAAATATTATTATCTGGGTAAAGTGAACATTTCAAAATTAAAAATTTCGTAGCTCTTGGCAAAAAATCAATTTAACGTAAAGTCGTTTTTTTTACATATGCTAGTTTAAACCATCACAAAATCCCACATGTATACATACAAGTATATATACAAGATATCCATATCAGTTATCCACCGGATATCCAGTGGATATCCAGTGGATATACATTAGATGTACAGTGGATATACTTTGGACATACATTAGTTATCCATTGGATATATATTAGAGATACTTTGTTGAAATTGGGTTAATAACGATTTAAATCATATTTATTAATCATTACATAAATTTATCCTATAAGGGGCTATTTTAAAAAAGAAAAAAATATTTTTAATGTTTTTGTTTTTATTTGAACATCCAGTATGGATATCCATCGGATATCCAGTGGATATCCAGTGGATATACATTAGATGTACAGTGGATATACTTTGGACATACATTAGTTATCCATTGGATATATATTAGAGATACTTTGTTGAAATTGGGTTAATAACGATTTAAATCATATTTATTAATCATTACATAAATTTATCCTATAAGGGGCTATTTTAAAAAAGAAAAAAATATTTTTAATGTTTTTGTTTTTTTTTTTGAACATCCAGTATGGATATCCATTGGATATCCAGTGGATATCCAGTGGATATACATTAGATGTACAGTGGATATACTTTGGACATACATTAGTTATCCATTGGATATATATTAGAGATACTTTGTTGAAATTGGGTTAATAACGATTTAAATCATATTTATTAATCATTACATAAATGTATCCTATAAGGGGCTATTTTAAAAAAGAAAAAAATATTTTTAATGTTTTTGTTTTTTTTTTGAACATCCAGTATGGATATCCATCGGATATCCAGTGGATATCCAGTGGATATACATTAGATGTACAGTGGATATACTTTGGACATACATTAGTTATCCATTGGATATATATTAGAGATACTTTGTTGAAATTGGGTTAATAACGATTTAAATCATATTTATTAATCATTACATAAATTTATCCTATAAGGGGCTATTTTAAAAAAGAAAAAAATATTTTTAATGTTTTTGTTTTTTTTTGAACATCCAGTATGGATATCCATTGGATATCCAATGGATATCGTAAAAGGCATGGATGTTATATGGACATTGGGATAGCCATTGGATATCCATTGGATAGCGTGTTCTGTGTGGGAAATATATTTATTTTCAACTTATAAAAAAATACACATAAAAAAATAAACAAAATAAACTTAATTTCTCTTTTTTTAATTTAAAAATCAAAATAAACCTAAATTATCAGTCAAAAAAAGTTAAGTTAAATCCCAATTTTGCCTATCCAAGTTCTGTAGAAACAGTTATTTAGACAACAGTAACATCGCAAAGTCTAACATCGATGTCATTAAAACATCGAAAATACAAGATCGATGTTAAAAAATCGATGTTCACTTCATTAAAATCGATGTTTGACGAACATCGAATATTCGATGCGCATCCCTAATACAGGGCCTTCCAAATTATTTGCACCCTTTTAATTTCTAAACAGCATTAAATTTGTTTCACACTAATTTGTCTACCCCAAATTTTTTTGTGAATTAGAAATAAAAGGGGACTAATAATTTGGACTACCCTGTAATTTTAAGTCTACAATAGTAATGCATTAACCCCATTTTTTAAATAATATATAATGTTTTTTAAAAAGATAATTTTGGTTTCATTATTACATATTTTTTGTGTAGGTACGATAATTTATTTGAAAATACGAACATTTTATGAGGTTGGTACGATAAATCCGTTTTCAAGACTTGGCAACACTGGTCTGCAATTACTTGCAGGCTGCAAGTTGCAGCAACTTTCTTGCATGCAAGTTTTATTGCTGACTGTAAAACACTTAAAACACTTGAAATTATTGAAAAAGGGCCCTTTCTCAATAATTTCTAGACTGCACCATTTGACAGGGTCGATCGAGTTTCTACCTCTCTGTTGAATATAGAAAATCAAAATAATGTATCTTGTAAGACACCATTGGGTTTGACTTTAACTTTAAATATTCACGTGGTTTAAACAAGTTATTATTATATTTCTGTTATCTTTAGTTATAAAACTTGGGTTTTATAGTGTTACTAAAATAGGTACTGATAACCTTTATAAACTCCCCAAATAAGCTCTTTAATGGGTATATAAGAGTGATATAAATATTTCTGTAACCAAATTAAGAAATTTAGGTTTTACAATTTTGATGATATAACATTTATGGCAATTGCCATAAGATCTTATATACCCATAGTGATTAATCACTATAAAAACAAAAATGTTTATTTTAAGCCCTATTGTAAATGACCAATAGAATCCAATAAAAAATAAGTAATTGGTTTGAATTGGTTTTAAATTTGTTTTGGCGCTATGAATCACCAATTCATTCCAGTTGAATTCCTATTGGTAATTTTCAATGAAGTCAGCGGCTTGGATTGGGAAATACCAATCCAATTATAATAATAATACCAATTCCTATGTATTGATACATAAAACTTACTATCACAAAAAAAGTAATAAAAAATAAATATATCATTTTTTTTTCTTTCTTGCAAAGGATGTTTGTAGGCATGGTCGAAGTCGATATTGTTTATGTCAATTTTTTTTATTTTGTCCGAATTCACAACCATTCTTACGCCATCGTCCCTAAACCTTACACATATAAACATTGTTTTAATATACCTATATATAAGTACACTACCAACACTAGGCACTTAACACAGAAATCGACTAATAAAAAAACCGCTAATAAATGGCGGCCAAAGACTTGTTGTTGTTTTTTCTTCATGGTGGCGTCTCAACCTCGTTGATTTTGCGCAGCTACACGAGAGCCCTCTTGCGATATTTGTATTGTATTGGGAATAACCAATTAGCAGATTGTTCGAATCTTACACTGGGAATGCCCAATTGAATTCAATTGGAAATTACCTATAGGTAGCTTTATCCAATCGAAACCGCTAAAAAACAGTAGAATCCTAATTGGATTTTTCCATATTTTAAAGTTAGTTTTGTTACGATTACTACGGCCACGTGGTGGCGCTACTATGCATCTTTAGCGTATAAGAAGAGTCTGGTCAGCTGTATCACCAATACTTTTGGTTTTTTGATCTGTGACACTTGTAGTGTCACGCACAGAACATAAGTGGTGTGACACCAGTGGTGTCACGTTTAAACTATGTCAAAACCAAAATGACAGTTGACACGGCCACCTACTTAAGAATTTTTATTATATTGAATATAATCTTCTTACACCTAGGTGGCTAGGTAGCTACTAATCTTAGTAAATATATTTACTAAGGAAGCTATAGCTTTTATGTTACTAATAGTCAACAAATGTAGGTCATGTTTGGGTCCCGTGTTCAGACTCTTCTTATAGGGTCAAAATGGAAATCAGCACCGACTCCCAAACCCTTAAATTTTCACCGCGTAGGAGGCCCTGGATCGGCGGGGCACATACCTAAATCCGCCGTGCATAAGTTTTACTTCTCACCGATTATTTTAAAAACTCATTTTCAAACTCTAGAAACAAGCTAAAAAATTGATTATTATAGTTTATTTTTTATGTAAATTTCATGAGCAAGTTTGTAAGATAAAAGAAATGGCGTATAAAAACAAATGTAAGTTTAAAAATTATTTTCTTGCGAACTGTCTGTAAAAAAATATGAAATTATTTGTGAATGTGTGTAATGTCTTACAAAACCATATATAAAATTTTGAAGACATTTCATGGACCCTTTAAATGGATATACTACCTTAATAGGTGATACCTATCACCTACAGGTGCAATGAAAGGTAAAATAAAAAGTCAAATAGTAATTAAGTATAGTTTATTGAAGTTACACTTACCAGGCTAACAGCATATAACATATTACAATGTGTTAAAATATAATACATATGAACAAACTGCACCAAGCCAAGTTTTCTACAATAAAATTTTTTATGTCATTTTGCCTAAATCTACAGTGTTTTTTAGTCAAAAAATCTAAATGAGGCTATACTTAGTTTCGCTTTATATACATTATAAATACCAGAGATAATTTAAACACTGAAATTCAAACTCCAAATGTTAAATAAATAACCAGTTCTTAATAATTATTAGATACCATGGGTTAAATAAATTTGACGTATAAATCCTCATTTCCAAATTTGTTTATTTAAAATAATAGATTTGACAAAAAAAATTAATAAAACTCAGCACCATTCTATTAAAAATCAATCACCTACTATGTCTATTATGTATTTTAAATCAAATGCATTATATTTATTCTAAGTGATTTAAATATCGATAAACCTTGGCAAGTGCTTGACCCTTACTAAAATTTAAAAATAAGACTTTTTACCACATATACTAATTTAAAATTAAAAAATGCACTGTTAATCTACTTTCCTATACTTGTAGTATAACTACATATTACATTTACAACTAGATTATATAACAAAAAAATAATAAAAACAAAATCACACTGGAAAGTTGATTAACAAGAATGGGTACTCAGCAAGAGTTTAAAGAACGTATAAAAAAATTTGTAACCAAGTCTATCAAACTAAATTAATATTTTTTTGTTAGGATGTCAGTCCTAACAAAAATAAATTACTATCTTCGTTCTGGCAATGAAATTGGTTTGTATTTTAATCATAGACAAACTTTTCCTGCATACCCAAACAAAATATATAATTTAAAACACAAAACATGGCATTAATAAGTAAAACCGCCATATTATTTATAATCAAACACTTTTGCACATCTAAAGAAATGTAAAGTCAGTACAGAGTGTTTCAAGCAAAAATGATTACATAAATATTAGATTTAGAAACAAAATATATACACGCGGCTAACAATACACGGGGTAAAACTTGAACCAATAAAATAGAATATCAGCACTTTATTTGAAGCACTCTGTAGTCAAGGCCAACAAAGTTAACAGTGTTTGACATTGCTTCAACTATAGATGCTTTATGAATAAAACATCAAGCTGTCAAAGTATCTTTGTTCCAACAAGAATCAGAAGTTATCCAGCACCAATCAGATCCTTAAAAAACAGTTTGTAAATCGTTTCTGATTACTTTTGAGACATCTGATTGGCTCTTAATAATACTAATGCAGTAGACATGCTTATGGTTTTAATAAATCTATGATACTTGAAACAGGTCAAAGTGATTACCCAACAAAAAAATGAATAAAAATAGAAACATGGCGATGAAAAATCAAAGTGACTGGTCAAAGAAGGCCACTAAAACAGCCGTGTGGCGTATGCACAAAAGATTTTATTTATGTTACAGTAGGTAGTTATAATGAAGTAAGTTGTAATAAATATACAATATAGTGTTGTTGCGGGCGACAACACTGCAGTGTCTTTAGAGAGCGGTCTCAAAGTACAAATTTTCCCAATATCATTCCTAAAAAGCCCAAAATGACCGCCACCAGGATGTGCTCCATCGGAATCGGCATTTTCTGGGAGGCCGCTGGCGGTTCGTACCTGCCAGAGGCCGTCGGGTATTTGTTGCTTTGATTCTGCACTCGGTGTTTTAGCAACAGAATCTCCTCCTGCAGCTTAAAGTTTTCCGACCTCAGCTGGCTTTCGTCCTCCCTTAATTGTTGGATCTAAACCAACCAAAAATATTTTTTTAATATCATAATCAGGGCCGGATTAAGGCAAAAACATGTAGGGGGCACTCAAATTGTGAAAAGAATAATGTAATTTTTAGTGCTAAAAATATTAGATCTTTACTTAGTAAGTAATTGGAAAAGAAAAATGACTAAGATCAGTGTTTAGTAAGTTAATGCTTATAAAAAGCGAACAAAAATCAACATAAAACTTATTTAATATAACTCTCAATCTCTATGACATGAAAACATGAAAATTGCTAAAATTAATATACATTAAAACAATTGTTTTTGAAAAACATATAAATGAAAATTATTGATGGTAACAAGTTATTGAAAACAATAAATAAAATGAAATAATACTAATTTTTTATGATAGTAAAAGTAAATATTAACATTGTTTTAAGAGTAGTAGCATTTTGATTTGTTAGTTTTTGCAAATAAGAACATCAAATCTCGATTTTACCAAATAATAGGTCAATATCATTCCCTTATATAAAAGTGTCGTCTTTTTCAATCAAACAATTTTTTTTTGAAATTCGAAAATGAAAAATTTTTTGAGGAATTTCTAAAAAAAACTTTAATCAGCAGAGAAGTGCTTCTTATTTATACAAAAAACAAAATATACCTACTACTGCTTAATGGATTTAACAATAAAACATAAGTTTAAAAAAGATGATACTTTTATATATAGGGAAATGATCTTAACTAATTTTTGACAAAAATTGAGATTGCGAACGTCGATATGCTTAAAAGCTAACAAAACATTAAATAAACAAATATACCTTGTATAGGTGGAACCTATGTATCTAGTTTTAACTTTACTTCCAAAATTATTTATATTATCATTTTTTTTTAAACGATGTTTAATTAATTTGGTTAAAATGGTTAGAACTAATCCACTAAGGTATTTTTTGCTACAAGACATTTTTTAATATCAAATTGTTCATACACAACTGCAGTTCTTCTTAACTTCTTTATTAGCTTGCCTCATGCAAATATAACTCATATATCAAATAAAATTATACGACTAATCAAAGAAAATGTTATCCAAAATTAATAATACAAATATTTCGCCATCCTAGTCGCGCCTGCCCGACACACTTCGGTCTATCGGCGACTATCAAAGCGGTAATAAAATATCTTTTGAAGTACCGATTGACCACTGTCGGACGCCTACAAAACATGTATTATATTTAGGGATTTTTTTGATAAGAAACATTTTAGTTGTATTTTGATTTTATCTAGGTGTTATAATGTGTATTATTAATCTGACTTTTTCATACCTAGGTGTGGGGGCCCCAATGTCAATATAGCTTCCAAAGCCCTTCCTTTAATCCAGGGCTGATCATAATGAGTTCATTATTAAACGCAAGTGTCACTTTCTCGCACGCAAATTATAGGGGACTTTTTTACAAACTTGGCAACACAATATTATTAAATCGATCAAGCTAATTTTCATCGTTGCTATTATATTTATATTTTACTTGCTTTAAAAAAATTAATTAATATAACAAGTTGTGTTTGTCAGACAACCCAAGTCCAATGGTGGATGGATCTTGCTAAAAGTATTGGACGTTATTACTAGTATAACCATGAAGGGCATGGAAAAATACAGACGTGTCAACCAGCACGAACTTGGGCGGCCGTCTTACAACGCGAGTCCATTTTAACAAGAAAGAAAGAAGTAGAAGAAGAAAGTAAATTATTAAAAAAAAAACACAATTGTGTTATTATTTATTATGTTATTTTTTTTAATAATAAGACAATCTTTCTACCTTTTATGGTTTTATTATGTTTGTTTTCTGATCTTTTCGAGACTTTTGCTGCATTTAAAATACTGCTTGTTTTTTGCTGCTTTTATTATTTTTATTAACTTTTTTAATATTTTTTTGTTTGTAGTGGACTTTATTCGTTTCACAACTCATTTTAAGATTTAAAATAACATTGCATATTGATATGTCACTGCCAAAAGCAAAAAGCGTTCCCATAGAAACCAACTATCAACAACTCGCATTGTTGTCGCGTTTAAATCCCATTTTTTACGTTTTTTTAATTCACGTTCCTGTGTTACACTATATATGTATATAGTGCATTTTAAATTAAAATAAAAAATTAGTTGAACAATTGGCTGTTTTTAAATCAAATGTAATAAAATAAATTTTATTTTTGCAAGTTGGTACCTATCGCTATTTATGCATTATGTAAGTATAAAAGCAACTTACCCCTTTCCCCGCAATGTACTGCCCAAAGCTTCTTAAATTTATATTAATCATAATTTTAATATGGACATTTTTTCCCATAAAACAATGGCAACCAGTGGCGGCTGGTGGATTTTATGTATACCAATATCTCGGTTATTACACGGAAAGAAATTTTGAAAGTATTTATTACAATTCATATGACTATTCTTTTATCTAGAAGTTTTTAGGATAATTCTTCAGTATTGAAGTAATATTTCATTTTATAAATATAATTAATATAGTATGACTTACGATAATTGTGTAAGGATTATTATTGTAAATTTTCTCAAAATAAGAACAATTTATATCTTCAATATAGCATTATTTCTTATCGCAAGTGTGGTAAAATAATTCATTTGCATTCTAAGAAAAATAATTTGAATACTGAACTTCTTTCTTGTATTTAATTTAGAAAAACGTACTAATATTTTAAAATTAAAAAACATCGGAATAAACTTCTAGGTTTATTACTATTGTTGTAAACCAAAAAAGAATCCGATCGTTGAATACTACGATATCCTGGCAATTTTTGATTGAAATCGCGTACTACAGGGCCTAATTTGCTCCGCCAATAAGAGGACTTCGCGCGTGCACTTGTTACCGCTAAAAATTGCAGTTGGGAAGGGGTGGGTTGAGAAGATTGGAGGTCATTACTAGTGGAATGTCTATTATAGACAGTCTGTTTTAAATAGTGACCGTAAAATGAATAAAGTTAAAGAAATCGTGGAATTTACCAAATTTATTTCCCATCTTAGAAGAGAGGTGTATAGGTACCTATAGTTATTAAGTAAGTAAGCATTATTTGAAGAGCTTGGCACTAAAATAATAAGCCATGGCTGCAGGCATTTATTAAAAATGCATAAGGTTAGTTATATGAGTTGTTGTAAAACAAAAAGCCACATAAGCCTCAGAAAGAATGTAATTAATTATTTTTGGTAGGTAAACTCCTTAGGAATAAAAAAATTAAAAAAATAGCTGCGGTTGTGAAAAATAATTGCTGCGAAAAATTACTCTTCAGTAAAATAAAGGGCTAGGGGGCAAAAAGTATTTGTAGCCTTCTATAAAGCCACAAGGTACCTATATATTTTGAGATGCGAGGAGTCCTCGCAGAGCATTACTTTTTTAAACAAGCCTTTTAGAGCTTACTTACCAAAAATAATTATAAATTGACTATATCTCAAAAAATTCTCTACTTTCATATCTTTGCACGGTATTTTCTGATTCAGCGGACAATTTTACATATGAATTGTCTATTAAATATACGGGAATCAAATTGCTTTGGACAACAGTTACCTATTAGTGGCTGCTTTTTTGCCATGACAATTAAATTCATTTTAAAAGAGTATGTTCCAAATAAACTATTTGCCGGATGATTTCCTTAGACACTATTGTCAAGACAATGGTATCTATGGAAGTTATCCGTCAAATGGATAATTTGGAAAATAAGTAACAATTGAAATATCGGCCCTAGGTAAATGGAAAATGTCAGGGTATTAACATTATTGAACCTGTTACTTTTCATGAAAGTCTGGGCGTTTATGAATATTTTTGTTAATCAAATTAAGATAATTATGTTTTTTTATTAAATCGATCATTTTAATAAAGTCGAAAATCCATAAAATTTTATTCAAACAAAATTATAAAATGTATTCATAAGTTCAGTTTTTTTCTTTATTTTTTATTTTTAATTTTCTATGAATGGCGGACTGAGTGGATAAGAATTTTGAAATGATGGATTTATTAAAATACTTGCCTATTTACTATAATAAATATTTGTTTCAAATTTAGTTGGTTTTACTTACCCTTGTCCCCGCCGAACTTGTCTATTTAATGTTATTATAAACTATTATAAAATTAGTGTGGGTCCCATGTCAATAACTGAAATATTGGTATACCCAAAATCCACCAGCCGCCACTGATGGCAACATAACAAAATCGCATGATCCATTTTAAATATATATTTAAAAAACGATTATAAAACGCCAAAACTAAAATACCCCCCCCCCCCCTAAAGCATGGCATACAGTCGCGCGCCATTTTCGCTGTACCCCAAATACTATTTTATAAAGGACATTAAATTCCTTTTTTTAAGTGTTTAATAATTTACATATTATTAACAGTCAAAAGTCTATATAGAAAGACTGCACATTAATACTAGTTGAAAAGTCAAATTATTTTAAACCTTGGTACAAAAATTTAGCTAAAATGTCATAATGTCAGTTGAATCTAAAAGTGACGGCGAAACCTTATTAATTGCCTTAAAAACAATCTACATACAGTTAAATGTATGTTTAGCTATAATATGACTTCTGTGTGCCTGGTCTATAATGTACTATTCTATGGTTTAAATGTGCAGTTAAGAATAAATATTTTTCTACTCCTATTACGGAATTTGACCATTCTAATATCACTTTTATCTATGGAATGACATATATTCCGTAAAGTGTTACAGAATAAAATATTCTATCATCGGATGACAGAATAAACACTCGTGGCGACATCTCTGTTTTTAATATCTAACAAATTTTAGACCGATCCAACCTCACTTTCTTCCAATTAAATTATTTTTCTATGGTATTTTTTGGAAACGTAGAAAAAGTATAGTCTGAAACACGTTTGGAATTGAATGTATTCCAAATTTGTTACAGAATATACTATTCTCCTTTAAACATGACATACGTATTTATATAACTTTATCAATTAGTTTTTAAAGGTTTATAATTGATGGTTTTAGATAATTATTCATTAATTAATAATAATTTATATTTGATAAATCGATAATAAATTTGGCCTTGAATATATTACCGAAATTTTATGTCACAGAAATCGCGGAGAATTAAGGTGTTATAGCTACTTAGTAATATAATATGGATTTAATTAATATTTTTATCATTCAGTAAATTTTTTTAGCACACATTAATTTAATATACTGAGAAGTAGATCTCTGATGATTACAAGTAGATTGCAATCTATGCAGTTCTATGGAATCATTTTATAATTAATTTTTGTACCCACACATTACCATCCTGTCACACTAATACAATTTTTTAGTTTACTTTTATGATAATTACTGAACTTTGTCCCTTAATAAAAAATAATAACTAATGTAGTTTTGCTAACATAGCAAAAAATTGTTAATAAATGTTTACTTTTATAAATATACCAACATTTCTAATACCTATAATAGAAAACAAAATTTGACAACTTAAAACTCAACTATTAATACAATTACTAATAAAACAAATAAATATATGCAAACAATATGACAGATTAAATTAAATATCATGTAATTAATTTAAACTCTGCCATATGACTTTTGAGCTGAGTACAAATATAAAAAGCTTGAAAAAAAATTCCAGGAAAAAAAACCTACTTAAAAATTATTTTTTAAAACATGATTAAGTAATTAATGACTAAGTACATGACAGTATCTTTGATTATTTTTTAGTGTAATAATTATTGTAAAAAAATGTCTAAACTTTTAAGTAAGTTTCATTGTATTATATTATATATGAAATTAGTCAGTGTAATTAATTTGTATAGCATTTTTAACATAAATTAAACTACATACCTAATTATTTCATATAAAATGTTAATCAAACCACCTTATGTTAATAAATAAAAAGTTTCTAATTCCACTTACCTCAGCTGCTGCTTTCTTTAATTCACTCGATTCATCTGAGTTCTGTGGTAAGCTATTGTCAAGTTTTGGACTAGCTTTGTTGGCCTCTTCGTTAACTTCATCTTCTGGTGGCAATTCAAATACACATTTTAATTTTGAGTCCATCAACTGTTGAGGACTGATGTTCTTCCAGAATGGCTCTAAGGTAACCTCACCATCAGGAGCAAATACTGTTTGAACCATAAACTTATGTTTGTTCTTTTCTGCTGGGTCATATACAAAAGGCTGTAGGGTTACTAAAAAAAACATGTTAATACATAATACAGGGTCATATGGATATAAATATGGTAACTTTAGCACTGTCACTAGAGAAGGTATCTTTTGATTCTGATATTATAATTACTATAAAACATTCTTTAGTCCAATTAAATTTTAAGGTACTTACTTGCTATTTCTATAGAAGTGTTTGGATTTATTGTACCCGAGTTAGGGCGTACACAGTATTTCTTTGGGGCTGTTGTTTTTATCTTGAACAGTACTTTTTTGTCTGAAGGATTATGCAATTTCATATATGATGTTACAGATACATTAAAAGGCCCTGAAAATAAAAAATTAAATGTAAGAACAGGATAATATGATATTTATTCAATAATATCTCTAATAAGACAAATTTTAACCAAGTAGATTTTTACATAAATGTAGGCATTCACTAAATTTTGGAAATACCTTCAATATAAAAAAATGGTCATAATTACAAATCTATATTCTTTTTGATAATTTTCTTTCCCAGTGTAAAATTATCATTTTGTCACATTTGAGGTATTCCTGGCTTGATGATGATGTATACTATAGAACTATACATAGGTACATAATATGAACATAAAATATTATATACAAATAACAATATAATAATCATAATTATATTGGATGTTTCATTTTTTTTAAATATCAAGATGTTTTATAACCATTAATTTGCTGATAGTGCTATTTTCAAGTTCTTGTTAGTCAATAATATAAAAATATGGTGTTTTAGTGTACATAAAATAGATAGTAAAGTAATAGGAGCTGTAAAATGGTTTATTAAATTTAAACTTACAAAATGATTTTAGTTAAATGAATAATAATAGAAACATAAGTAGACGTTTTAAATAAAGCTCAAGGCAAATATAAAGGACTTTGAAATATGTTTAGCAATTGTAAGAAAACATAAATTTCCATTAGGTAGGTTGCTTTGTTATCATTAAAAATCGACTTTGTAGTATTTAGGGCAATGGGGTAAAAATGAGGAAATGACTTTCAAGTTGGATTATTGACGATGGGCTAAGCCCCTGTTAAAACGTCAAATTCTTGAAATAGATTTCTTATTGGAAAGGCTACTATTTATTATTGGTAGGTAAGATTTTACGTCAATAAAGGAATCGCGGTCTCACCTCTAAATTTGAGTTCATTTTCGGGTTCTATAGTCAGCACTTGTTCCAGCTTGGACATTTTTAAACCTAACACAAGAATACAGAAGAGGAAACACAACTATAAACTTAATTTTTTAGACGATTTACAATGACAGATCCCGGTTATGCTGCACTCTCTGACAAGTTACGCGCAGGCGTTTGATTTAAGATGGCTTCGTAATTGCGCTGACATCACGTACCAACTTTCATATAGATTCCTGTAATTGTTTTGGATATTGTACAATAGATGACAGTAATGCAAAATCTGGCAACGTTGCAATCACGATTAGATTTCGAACCAAAACCGAACTATATATTATATTATATATAACTATATATTATATTATATTATAATAGTTATATATATTTAATTCTGGTGAAGCTTGTTCCAGCATAGCTCTTTCGCGGAGGAACAAACAAGAAGACTTTTGAGAAGGAGATAAAACTAGCTGATTTGGGTGAGTTCGAATTAGACCAGCGCACAGTGGTCCAAAAGCCCAAAAAACATGGTCAAAATATGAAGGTTTAGTTATATGTTTACCAAAACAGGGACCTAAACATTTTTGGGGTCACTGATTACGAATTTGATATCCTTTTTTTCAAAAACAAAATGGCGGATCCAATATGGAGGACATTTTTTTAACAAATATTCTTAAATTTGACGTGTGGTTTTTGAGGTCGCTAATTACGAATTTTATATTTATTTTTTGAAAAACAATATCGCTAAAATTTAGAAACCTGTGTTTTATGAGGTAGCTGATAACAAATTTGATATCCATTATTCAAAAAAAAATGGCTTATCCAATATGGCCGACATTTTTCAAATAAATTTAGACTTTTTTTTGGTTTATGAAAGGATTAAGGATTAGAACAATTTAAGTTGGATAAGCAAAATAACGATGCAAAATAAACATTTATTGAATAATTTAAATTATATTTATTTAACGCAATAAAAAACTATTTTTTTTATAAATTATTATAATACATATAATACATATATGTGTACAAAATTTGCATACATAACTCACAAATTAAGAGTTATTTTGAGGGTTTCACTTTCAACTACTTGAGATTTGGTTAAGTAAAAAATTGGAAATTTGTAAATATATAATTCCAATATTCGCTTTAAGAAAATTGATATCACAATCTTTAACGCTTTGAAATTTAAAAAAAGATGATCCCTGAATCTTGCATTTACATTTGAAAATTTAAAAAAATTAAATTTATACATTTATATATTTTGATTTTGTGTTATAAATACATATGTATTTATTTATTATATAATATGAATATTACTTGAATGTTATAATTGACAATTTTGTATACTTTAATATATTAATATTTAATTGAAATTGTCTCTATTTTTTAATGTAAAACATTTAATTTGTAAAATGTCCAACTACCTACTGATTTCTAAATTTTTTGATAAAACACAAAATCTGATATGGAGTTTATCTAGAGTATAAATCTAAAATAAAAAAACATTATACAATACTCACTGCAATATTGCTGCAACTATATAGTTGTGGACATATATATTTATTTAATATTTATTTAATATTTAACGTTATGGTACCATACTTTATTTTTACTAAGAAATTTATCTTTTTTTCTGCTTGACTCCTTCCATTTTCTTTTAAAATTGCCCAGCAACTTCTTCAAATTGATTACAGAATCTGGGTTTATCTCAAAAGGTACGCGTGACTTTTGATTAAAATATTTTTCCAAAAGCAGAATCTGCGCGTCTAGCTCCGTTTGAAAATTTCTTTTTACCATGGTGCACTTCATAAATTCCCTTGCGAGCAAAGTTCTTTGCTTGCGAGTGTACGTTAGAGATGGGTAATTCAATCATTTATTAGTGATCGAATCGATCGGTGATTGATTTCTGAAATGATCGAATCTTTTCAATCGTTCATTCAATCAATCATTTTCCTAAGTGTATCATTGAACGAACGATTCGGTCGTAGTGATTGGAACGAATGGAATGAGCTTTGTCGTATCAGCTGTGAATTTTAGTTTAATAGTATCGAATCGGTACTTTTGCAATCGATCGATCAAACCAATTATACGTTTCATTTATATGAATTGATTTCGGCTTTACTAAATTAGGGATTCGATCATTGCAAGCGAACGGGATTCGATCATGATGATTGAATCATTCACGATTGACACATCTCTAGTGTACGTCACAGTACAGGGTACTGCAAAGTACTACAAACATCTAAATACATTCTTGAATTTAAAAATATAAACACTTAATGCCTTAGAAGCAAACACCCTGTACAAAGATTTAGAATTTTTTTAAGAGAACGTTAGGTATAAAGGGGACAAGCGCCTAACCATTGTAGGCTAATCTGTTATAATGATAAGGATTAAACCAAATTTCTCTGACATTTCTCGGTTTTCCAGCGATTTTTTATATATTTTTTAAGTATATTGTTTATTGCATTAAAAATAGTAATTTGATTAAAAAACATATAAATTAATAATTTTTATAAATTAATCAAACAGTTTTTAAAAGTTTAGAAAGATTAAAAGAAAAAAGTCTAAATATTTTTTATTTATAACTACCATACATACAAATTATCAATACGGTTTTATAACATTTTATATAGATATTAAACCTGAGATATAAATATTAAACCTGAGACACCGTGTATATTTTGGTTGGGTTGTTGAGTTTGGGTTGGTTTGGGTAATTTATACTGACATTTCATTAATTTTGTTGTTAATTGTATTTCAATCACTTAATTAAATTTTAATCAATGTTTATACAACTTGAAAGTTAGCTTAATTAATAATTACATAATTAATATCAAGAGTTAACCAGCTGTTTACCAACTGCTATACAACTGGGCCTTAGTGTACCAATTTAATCTCAACTAATAAATCCGAAATTTTACCATCAGCTGGTATGGAAACACGCATGCGCACAAACCTGATGTACAGTTGTATTCAATAAAAAAGCGTACAAGAATTAGAATGAGAGAAAACTGTCAAAATAATATTATTGCTTAAAACCGGCTTATCACTGACATAAGTCATTAAAATAATTATTATAGGTTATAAAGAGCATTGACGTCGTAGGTTAATTAAATAATATTACAAAAATTATTACCTTTTAATAATGAAAAAACAAACATTAAAAAAAATTTAATATTTAGTCATGCATCCCTGTTTTTCTATTACTTGAGCCAATCTATTTGGGATGAACTGAATTAAATTTAATACAATATTTGGATTAATATCTTCCCAGATAGCAAAATGTAGTTCCGATGCGCGCACTTGGAGTGCACACGTGCGACTTAAGTCGCACGTGTGCGATTCATCTGGCCTTACATATATGTCCACATTTGAGTTGCATCTGAAGCGCACGAATGCGACTTAGAAAGCCTTAGAAAGAAAATGATCTTCACATGTAAAATTCTGGCCTAAAGAATTTAAAAATGTAAAATTTTGAATATAACAAAGAATTAACAAGGAGGTCGTGTTAATTAACACTTCTTACACAATTAAGACCATCAAGCCTCTATCACAAATTGGTTGGTTAACCACGCCTTTAGGCAAATTTGGATCTATCTTTTAACAAAAGAAGATTTTAAATCCCTAATACTCAGATCCCTTAACCAAGACAGTCTTTTCAAGCTGGCTTAGGTTGCAATGATAATCCCACTATTATTCAATTTGCAACCATTGGTCAACCATGGATATATCCTTATAAGGTCAATTTTAAACTAACAATATGCTGTAGAGGTCATTTATGAAATTCTCCTATTTTTTTAAATCAAACCACAAGTTATTCTTGGAGTCAAAATCAAAGTCTCTAAGAAGTAATGATTTTCTGTATCCGAAGCACAGGCTTGCTATTTTTGAAAAAGGCTGCTACTATTTGTGCCTATTCTTCTTTAACCACTTGCCTCAAAATATTAAAGTTTCATTGCATTTATATTCTATAGAATCTTATAAAAAACTTATTTTTGATTACATTCTGGAAAAAGAACCCTATTCTTTAAATGAGTTTCTAAATTAACCAGTCTTTGTAATAATTAGTAGGTATTTTATTTATACAATGTTTTATTTTTGCAATATTTTATGTATTTATATAAATTATTCTCTTTAAATACCCATACATAAATCTTATAAGTATACTTAATTGTTTGTTTGTGTATGTCTTAATTTAAATTTAAAATTACTTTAATTATATACCAAAACTTTCTTCACACAATTTTCTTTCTTACTGTGTAAAATGTAAAAATAAATTAATTTATAGCCTTAAGGTTATTATTATTATTTAAAAAGTAAGGTAATTAATATATGGACGTAGTTCTGCAGAAAAGAACCAATCCAAAAATTAGAAAAAAATTAAGATATTTTGTACTTATATTAACAGAAAATAAGAAAATTGGTGGGTTGGATCCTTTCTGCATAAATGGGTCCGTATATATTAATTATAAATAACAATAAATGTTATCGCACCTGCCACGCACAAATTTTAAAATATGTGACTTTACTGTGAATGTGTATACGAACGCACGTGTGCGATATGCGAAAATGGTCTCATCGCGTGCGCCTAAAACTCACGCGTTACTTAATTTTGAATGCGTATTAGCGCGCACGCGTGAGACCGCACGTCATGCGTTTTTCGTGCGACGCACTATTGCTATCTGGGTTCCCAGCAGTATAGTAGGTATAGTATAGTTGTATAGTTTCCCATAAATCCTCAGATATCTCAAAAAAGCAGCATCCTGTTCAGGGGTGGACATTTTGGGACGACCTGAACCAACTTTTTGGTTTAGTAAATCTTCCTGTTCCCAGCGTTGCTTAATTTTTAATATAGATTTTTTATTTCTATTATACCACAGTACGAATTGACCATTCTTTTTCGATTCTTGATACTATTTGAGCCTTTTTAACTGACGAGGCATTTTTATTTTCTACTGTCAGTTATAGTGACTTAAGTCAGTGGAAAGCCGGTTTTACGCAATAATGTTGACAGTTTTCTCTCATTCTAATTCTTGTACGCTTTTTTAATGAATACAACTGTACGTTTAATGCCCGTACTCCCGGTTTACTTCTAGTCACGGCGCGCCGCGGCGTTTTTATTTTGCTATATGCTTAAGCTAAGAACC